AAAAAATAATACTAAAAAAACTAATAACAAAAAATAATACTAAAAAACTAATAACTTTAAAAAGATCTTTCTTTTACTACTATTATTCGTATTTTATATTATAAAAAAATTCACCTTATCTGAAAATTCTGATTTTATTAAAAATTTGTTTGTATGTAAAGCATAATGGATACAGAAGTAATTATTTTTGCCGATAAAGAATCTTTTTGTGAAATTAACTTTCTAAGGTTTCTTTATTTTTTTTTCAATTTTTGATATAATTCATCTAAATATATTTTTCACAATAAAATGATAAAGTATAAAAAACTAATATCTTATATAAAATTTTGATTTATTTCGAATTACTATAAAAGTTATTGAAAACAATAAAACAATATTAAAACTTTGTATATTGATTTTAAATATTATTAAAAAACATTGCCTTACATTTTTTTAGAGATGAAATCAATGTTCAATATTTTTTCTTTTTTCTTCAAGTTTACAATTATACAAGATAGAATATAATTTTATATTATAAAATGTTTAATTTAATACTTTATTATTTCTTCATTTAATACTCACTTTTAATTTTAATATAAAAGATTTCCTACAAAAATAATTACTCCTTGTATAATTTATGTTTTATATATCACGAATTATATATTTTCATATGAATTTTCAATAAAATCAGAATATTCGGATAAAATGAATTTCTTTGTAATATAAAATATTAATATAAAATATTTTTTTAACAATATATTCGTTCGTAAAATTCGATTATCTAGTGTTTATATCATAGTAGTGTTTATATTCTCATCACCGATTTCAAGAAAAATCTTTATTTTACATTCCATTTTATCGTTGAAATCTGAGCAAAAAAAGAATATTTCAATTACCGAAAATATTACAATCACAAATATCATAATGGAATTCTATTTCTAAAATATAATTCTATACTTTTTATATCTTAAAATATACAAAGAAAAAACAAATAATAGATAATAATATTATAAATAATACTGATTCTAAAAGTATTTTAGCCAAATAGCAAAAAGCAAAAAAATTAAACATAAAATGATAAAAATAGAAAAAAAGAACATTTGGACAAAGAACAGTGAGAATTAAAAAAAATAGAAAAAAAGGAAAGTAACAATACAAAAGCCAATAAGAAAAAAAGAAGAAAAAAAATTTTTAAAAATAGAATTTGTTTAAATTCTAATCCATATTAGAATAATAGAAAACGAAAGAACGGGCAAAAAAGCGAAAGGAAGAAATTAATATATACAAAAATCAAAAATATAAAAGTAAATTTACTTTTAAAAACATAAAAAATCACAAACAAACAAAATAAAAGATTAGATAACTATATAATATTATAACAAAGAAGAAAACAACGAAAAAAATTAATGTTTTTTAATGATTTAAGAAACAAGAAGAATAAAAAAAATAAATAATTATTATATAATAAAGAATCAGAAAGAACATAACAATTTGTTAGTATATAAATGCAAAGCAGAATTAATTAAGTAATTAATTAGATGATAGGGACATGAAAAACATTAAAAGAGAAAGAATGAAATTGAAAGAAAAACTAAAAAAACGATAATAGAGCTAATACATCATTTTTATATAATAAAAACTAATATTATTTTTATTTTTGGAAATGAAGGAAAAAAGGCAAAAAGAAAAGAAAAGAAAGAAAAATCTTAGCAATTAAAAATTGAAACAACTTAAGATCAAAAAGATTTCAAATAATGAATAATGACAAAGATTTCAAATAAATTAAAAAAGAAGAGGAAAAGAAAGATTTAGGAAAAAATAAAGGAAAAAAATAGAAAAGATTAAAGGAGAAAAGGAAAAGAAATTAGGATTAACTGGAAACTAAATGAATAATTTACAAAATTCAAAAAAAAATTACAAGATTTACATTATTATATTTACATTATTATGATATGAATTGTATTTATGTCTAAAATAAAAAAAATAAAAAGATAAAAAATAAGATATACATATATTTGCATATATATATATATATATTTATACATATATTTGTATATATCTAAAATGAAAATATATAATACATAAAAATATATAAAAAATATATATTTATATTTATATATGTATATTCATATAATTTTATATGTACTATATTTAAACATAATTTGAATTTTAAATGGTATAAGTAAAATAAATAAAAAAATATAAATATAAAGAATATTTAATCCTCATTGAAAATCAAGTATTTTTCTATCCATTATTTTATTTATACATATTTAAAAAAATTTTAAAAATAAAAAAACACTACAAAAATATTATATATTATAAAAATATTATATTCATTATTGTATCCATTTTTGAAACTGTAAAAACTCATGACAAACTGACAGCATTTTTTTAGCTAATATTAAATTTTCTGAAAAATTTCATGAAGTATTAATTTCATTTATAAGAAGATATTTTATTCTAATTTCTAATTATTATTTTTTTAAAACTAATTAGTTATTTGGGTAACAATTCTTAATATAAATGAAATTAAATAAGATAGTACATTTATGATAATTGAAATTCATTAATCACTCTGTTTAAATATAAAACTTTTATCAGTATTTATTAATATAATATTATTATAATAAACAATAAATATTGTTATAAAAAAATCAAATTACTAATATATGTTTATAAAATCTTTGTCTATAGAAATAAATTTTATATCTTTATTACAAATATAAAACAATTTTTTTTCTTTATAGAGTTTTGTATTTCATATTTTCAATATATTATTATGTAAAAAATTAGAATCTTGTTAATATTTTTTAAAAATCTTAAATAAAATATTCTATTAATTTCATTAGGTAAAAATGAATCATATTTATATTGACATTTGAAATTTATATATTTTTATATTGTCATTACTTATTTCATACAAAATATAAATTTCATCTAAGAATATATATATTTTGTATAAAAAAATTATTAAACATAAAATACGATCATTTCAATTTCTAAAAACAACGAGCAGTATTCAAAGAGACATTCGAAAGACACATTCGCCTCAAAATATAGTAAGTTTTGACGGGTCAGTAACTCTAAAAATATTTATGTCGTCCTCAACTATTCTTACTCCCGCGACATGGATATTTTCGGCTTATGTTGGGTAACCCCAGTATCCCAATGTTTCTCTTCTTTTTTTGTTAAAAGATTTATCATTAAATAAAAAAAACTGCAATGAATTATGAAAATAATTCTTAATATTTATAAAATTGTTTCCAATTTCATTTATAATATTTAAAGAAATATTAATAACAATTTTGAATTCATAAAATATTTTAATATATATATATATACATATTTCGTGAATTTTTTAATAGAAATAAATTCACATGTAAAGATAATTCTAATTAATAATTTTATATATTAATTAGAATTTAAATCAAAGTATAATCGAGAGATAATAAATATTTATCTATTTACTTAATCATGTTCGAAATTGATGAATTGTTGATAATTTGAAAAGTGATGAAGAGAATGAGAATCAAATAATATGTGATTTTCAAATTAATTATAAATTATATATGATTGGAATTTGGACACATTTTTTATACAAGATGTATAAAAAAAATATAAGAAAGAAAAAAAAATATAGTAATGATTTTTTTTTGAAAGAGAATCATCAACGGAAGTATAAGAATGTCAATGTAAATCAATGTCATAGGATGACATAATATATAACGTTGATTTTTAAGTGGGAAAATAAGAGGGAATGCCAAAGAAGGAGAACAGATGTGTAGAAACATGTGTCTTAAGGGATGCATTTTACAGGATGTTTTGAATACGTGATATCGCATCCAAGCAAGTATATTGGTAATTAAATTTTACAAAGTTTCCAATTCGTCTATTTAAAAGTAATCTCTGGTTTCCGGAATTAATTTCTTTAGTCGTGCCGATTGCAAGTTTTCAAAAATATGTTCATAAATCACATTTTAACTTTTAACTCTATAAGAAAACTACAGATTTTAGTTTTTATTGATCAAAAGAAATGAGAAAAAATGACCCGAATATATATATATATATATATATGTATATTATATATATAATATGTCTATTGAGAATCTAAGATTTAGGCTTGTAATAAAATTCACATTTTAATTAACATAAATTTGAAGAGTTAAATTGATAATATCTATTTTTTCTATTTATTTATTATTTTTTTCTATATATGTTTTTAGAATTTAATATTCAAAAATTTAATTTCAATTTTTGTAATTATAATCATTGTTTGAGACTTATAATTTTTTAATATAATTAAAATAATCATTGATAGAAATTTATTGATAAAAAAATTTAACAATAAGTTGAATTGATTATATATACGAAATAAAAGGAAAATTAATAAATACAATTCAAAAAATATACGAAGTTTAACGTATCCTCATATATTTTATTATTTGCGCTTATAAATTTGTATATATGTATATAAGTAGATATTATGTACTGTTCAAAAAAAAAATCCTTTGAAAGGAATGCAAGTCTGATTACTTGTAATAAATCTAATATAATAATAACAATAAGCATGCAATAAGCATTAATCAAAAGTCTCATATCTCAAATAATATTATCGTATAATGATAAACGAATATAATGAAGTAAGCAAAATAAATACATACATGTATCAGCATATTTTTTTTTGCTTTGTACCATGCCAGTATATATTTATTTTTTCGCAATACATTATACGTATACATTATATATATATATATATTTATATATACATTATATATATATATATTTATATATAATCATATAAAATATATATATATATATATATATATATATATATATATATACTGTGCATACGTATTTATATACAAAAGATTAGATAATTTGTATAAGATTATTTTGTTTAAAATTCTTTTATAGGATTAATAAAATATGATTGGCGAATTATGCGTAAATAGATACATACTTAATTTAATTAATTGATAACGAGATATTAGTTAAACTTAAAAAAAATAATTGCTGTATTAACATTAAAAAGAATAATAGATATTTTCATATTTAATTCACTTTAGGAACTTTGTTGTTTTTCCATTCGATGATGTATTCAACAATGAATCAACAAGGAACGAGAAAAAAAAAAATTCTTCGATCTTTCATGCTTCAAACATCTCTATTTGTATTGATATTCGAACATAGTGTCATTGATGCGAAGGATATCGAAGCGTATCGGTGGTTGCACAAATCGGTCCGTTGATACTTTGAACAATCATATTGAGGCGATCCAAGCTGCTTCCATTGAGTTGAGATGACTGCGATTCCAGCATTTCCTCGAATTCTAGCAAAAATGAATAATGAATTATTAATTTATTAAAAATTATTCATTTTGATTCAACTATATTTTGATTTATGAAGATATAAAACAAACTGAAAACTTGAAATTTTAGATTTAATTAAAATAGTATATTATTAATAATATATAAACATTGAACAACGTATATATATGAATGATAAAAAAAAAAGAAAGAAAAAAAAATGGAAATAAAATCCATTTTGGAATTCTTTCATTTTATATTTCGAATCTTATATATATACATAAATATATAAGTGGTTTTGATTGAATTCATGTTGAATTATTTCTGTAATTTCAAAATATAGAATAAACATATATTTATTTGAGCGATGTTCGAAAGAAATAATTGAATTATTTATTTTGCAATTGTATTTATATGTCAATACAAATGTATATGATTTAAGCTTTGAAATATAATCATTGATAAAGAATCGAAAAGGAAAATTAAATGAGAGATTGAAAAAAAAAAATGAATAGTGTTTCGCAATGTTTAATATTTACGTATATATTATATATACATATTTATATATAAACATATAAAATATATATATACACTGTGCATACGTATTTATATATAAAAGATTAGATAATTTGTATAAGATTATTTTGTATTAATAAACTTTATTTTGCATTTGTTGGAAATGTATCAAAACAATTTGATTGCACTGTTGATCTTCAAAAAACATCGATTCATTTTTATCTACGGCAATAATATTCTTATTACAAAAAAAACATGTAGAAGAAATTTTTCGTATTATCGAAATATAATCTCATATTAATGAAAAAACTTATAAAAAACATTGATTTTTCTTTGATAAAAATACTTTTTATCTCCGATTACATCACATATAGATGTACAGCAAATTGAATGAAATAAAAAAATTTCTGTGAAAATTGATTGAGAAAATAAAAATGAAAGATAAAGAATAAAAAAAAAAGTTAAAAAATATAACGAATAAGAGAAAAAGAAAGACTAATTCGCTAATTCATAAAGGAAATAAGCGAAAAGTAAGAGAAAATTTTCAAAAGATATGAGAGAATTCTGAATGTGGCAAAGTATGTATTTTAGACGTTACTTCCGTCGTATTTAAATGAGCGGCCTGTTGGCAAAAGGATAGTCCAGCAACGATGCGTCATAGTAATGTACCATAGCAATATATAGCACTTCTACTTGGATTTTCTCATCATTTCACCGAATTTTGAATTTTAAATGTAAGTTCTTATGAAAAAAATGTACATATATACAGATCCGATAAATATAATGTAAAATATACTGATAAATATGCGTTTTGATGATTTACGCTTCGTAATAATATCTTATTTATTATTGTTTAATATTTGATTATATTAACTTATGAATATGTAATGATAGAAAATAATAGAATAATAAATTTTTTTAAAAAAATTTTTTTTGAAAAATATTTAAAATATTAAACAATATTATTCGATTACAAAATTGTGAAATAAGATAAATTTAATATAATTGTATAATAAAATCTCGAAACATTGATCGAAATGATCAAGATCTACGCTAATGGGTTACGGTTTGATAAATTCGTTGGCATCTTCATCTTGTAAGCTATTCGTTTACCAAGAGGAATTTGTTTCTCGTCGTTGCAATTATAAGCGTTCTTTTTCCTCGGCTCATGGACCATTCGGACTTGGCAGATGTGTCGCGTGTGAATTATAGATTGTTGCATTTAACGAGAAACTCGTGCCACGAATTTCTGGCGCAGTTTCTCTTACTCTCTTAATTCTTTGTTATTTTTTCTTCCTTGAGTTCTGCTATACAAAGCATCCAAAGTTATTATTTTCGTGATAACTGCGTGAAATAATTATGAACGATTCAATGTTGAATATGTAATTAAGTCTTATGCATATGCAAAATTACATTCTCTTCATTAATATTTTCTTTTTTTTATCGATTTGAATTACGTTTCACGGTTGCCAATAGTCAGGTATTCATTAATGCTAATTAATCCTAAGTTATTTTAACGATCGAAATTAGATTGCGCGAACATATCTGCTCTTTTTGGCTCATGAAGCAATTCGCTCAGCCGTCATCGGTGCCAAAATTGATATTACCATGATATGAGAAATGCATAGTTACATGTACACATATGTACTATCGGTTTTTTTTCTCTATCATTTACAATATTTGTTAATCAATTTAGTCGTACATAAATTCACACATGATTTATTAATTTTCATAAAAACGAAGATAGGATCAGTCATCTAATTTCAGAATATGAATCAATTAATTCGATAATACAATCACAAATCGGAAAAACAAGGAAATTTTGGAAGCGAAAATAGAAATTGAAGTTGAATATAGAATGTTAATTGCAAAATGTGTGTTTTCTAGTCGGTTCGATTAATGACGAACGATGCACAACTCATGATACATGATAGACTATGAACCATAACGCATGGCACGTGGCTTATAGATCATTGCGAGTAATGCGACCCACGAACAAGACGCGAAGCGACTATATCCGAATGACGTTACATCGTTAGAAACTTACGGGTGGGCTATCTATAGCAGCGCGTGTAACCAAATAGAAACGGAGTGTCATTCAAGGGTGACAAAACTCATTAATACCGATCTGCTTAATGCTCCATCTCGTGTCAAGCATTAATCTATTTAAAAATATCAGTATCATACGGCTGATACCATTTTGGAAGCATTAAACAAACAAGAGAAACCGATCGCATCGCACTCCTTAATAGTCGCTTCCTGTCTTCAATTCCTATCTCGGCAAAGTTTCTCAAAGAAAATTACTGTTTTATGGATAGAATATCACTTACCATTGATAGGTTGAAATCTTGCCAAAGGATCTGAAAATTGTCTCAGCTTTTCCGTCATGTATCGCGGAGAAGTTGTATCCTAAAAATGAAAAATAAGATTAGATTAGTATTTGGAAGCAACATTGCTAATATCTGATAGCATTGATTGCTTGATTTTTATTATTCGCAATATACATACATATGTACATACTTACATATGTTACAAATCTTATCTTGTCATATCTTAGATCGTTGCATCGCGTAACTTACCGTGACCATGTATCGAAAGTAGTACAGGTAGGAGATAACGCACCGCACAGTAGTCCACAATTGGCCGATTTAGCTGACCAAAATTAAAAATACCTCCATATTGATTTTTTCGATATGAAAATATGATATCATTTATGTGTATATAAAAATTTTATATTTATATAATAAATTATATTATGTAATATGTATCTAAATAATTTATTAATTTATTATTATTATACACAATAATAATTAATTTGAGAATAAAGGAACACACGATTATTCCCGAATTCAATCTATTTGCGTATATTGTATGAAAAGATACTAATTTTCAAAAAAATAAAATAGGATAGAGTTAAATTCAACAGAATTTAAAATATTCATTTATAAAATTAATTAATTAATTAAATATTATCATACTATCAATTTGGCGTAGGAAAATGAAGAGCAAAAATAAAAAAGAGCGAATAAAATCATTGATTTTTGCATATTTGTATAAATTATAGAACAATTTTATAATTATTTGCATTAAGAAGTAAAAAAAATATATCTTTTCTTTTTACGTTATTCAAAGTAAACTTTACAAATAACGAACAATTTAACAGAACAAATAAGTACGTTAAGATTATATATTCTTTTAATAATGTGCATATTTATTTTAATATGATAATAAATAATAATATTTTTTAATCTCTATATTGACGAAATTGTATAAATACATTAAGTAAAAATTCCTTATTAGAAATTATTTATTAGAAATTATAAAATGAAATTATGTAAAATAGAGAATATAATATTTGAAAAAGAAAAGTATATAAAAATGATAGTGACAATAACAATTAGGTTGAAGATATTTAATTATAAAATAGTAGATGAAAATTTGTTCATTATTCTATATTTTGTTTGTTGTTGTTGTTTAAAAATAGTGTTTTTATTTTTGTTGAAAGAAGATTTTTATTATATAATTTATTAATTATTTTTATTATATTTATTATATCATTTTTTTAATTATTATTATTATATAATTCAAATTGAATCTTTTATAACACATATATTTGGCATATTGTCCCGGAAATAAGATAAAAATTTAATTCAAATATTATTTAATAATTATTATTATTAATATTTTATAATATATTTTATAATTATAAAATATTATTTAATTTATTATTATTTATTATTTAATTAATATTAATTCAAAAACCCATTTTGAATTAATAACTATTTTGTAATATAATTCAAAGAAAAATATACGATATTAACAAATTTTGTAAAAGTAAAACATGATAGCATTAGAATTATACAAAATAAAAAAGTATATTTTTAAATTATTATTATTAAATTATTATTATTAAATTTTACATAGGTTTATACAAAAAACTCGATAATTTTCGGCATTACTTTATCTATTTCTATAATCTATTTCTCGTTTGGTTTGTAAATGATATTTCTAAAATGATTCTTTACATTTATTAAATTCCTTTTTGCCTTATTGTTATTTGATCATTAAAACCGATTATAAATATAACAATGTAACTATCATAATAAAAAAATTGCGTTTGAATGAAAGAGCGTTTGTAGAATGCTAATAGTTAACTAATATTAAGATCAATATCAGTCTTACCGATACAAATTTCTATCCAGCATCAGTATGTATTAAAATATGTATTAAAATGTTTAGATCATTATTAAATCATTTTTTTCAACATCGACAACTTTTAAAACGATATCAAATCAATATTATATCGAATCAAAAATTATTCGATACTTATAAAGATTCCGATACTTATTCAATAACTTTAACTTTTATTTCTAAATATTATAATTAAAACCAGATTTGATTAAGAAAAAAAATAAAATATAATAATAATAAAAGAAAATAGAATAATAGATATAGATTGGAATCAAAGACAATTAGAATCAAAATAGACATAATATGTTTATGATTATGATTAATAATGAATATGAAATATCAAATAAAAATCTTTTTAACATATAATTTTTGATTCGATATAATATTGATTGATTTAATATCATTTGATGATTGCTTTAAGAGGCATCAATATCAAGAAATAATATCAAATACTTAAAATTTTGATACATATATAGAATACGTATCTTTTGATACGTATATCTTCTATTGAGTATTTTCAAATCGTTTGAACATTATCAATATCGGTATTAATTTGATTACTAATTAATTCTTTTTAATATAAAAAATAGTTCTTTTATAAAATGAAATAATGCTTAAAAACATATTGATACTTGAAATAAATAATATATATAATAAAATCATTCATGAAATTTTATAATCTATGTCAATAAAAAATATTATTAATATATATTATATATTAATCACATTTAAATCAATAATCACAAAAAACTACAAAAACTATATAATATAAAAGCAAAAATCTTAGAACATAAATATAAAATATATTTATTAGAAAAATGTCCATAAAAAAAAATACTTATAAAGCATAAAAATTATTTCAAAGAATTTTAAAAATTTAGTATATATTAACAGTTAATCTTAATATTATTTAGTATTATTTTAATATTTGACAAAACATATTTAATTATTTTGGATAAAAATTTATTAACTTAAAGTTTTTTAAATTGATTTTTGATCAGCTAAATCGATCAAGAGAGACCACTATACGCCGTTTTATTATTTTATTATTTATTATAAATATTATATATTTACATTACTTACTTAGTTGGAGAAAAACAAAGAAAAATTATAATAGCATTTAAAAATGTAAAATAATATTTGAAATATATTGAAAATTATTGACATAATCTCGATAAGATCTCAGATATCATCGTATAGAGAAAAGAATTAATTTCGTCAAAAAATTTATAAATATTATTAATAATTTTCTTTTTCTTGTTCATTGTTCATCAAATAGATATACTAAACATGGTGTATACATTTTATCTACTTCAGATTTCTTTATTTGTTTCTATACATATACGTCGTGGCGACCAACTATTCTTGGAGTAAAAGCAATTCCTCGCTACACTGTCCTCATATCGTACGTTCATTCTTGCGCATTTGAAACTTGTTGCAAGAAATTATCACATTGAACACTTATCTATTCTTTGTAAATATATACGTTTTTCTTCAAAAATTGTTGGAAAAAATTTTTTTATATCATTTTTTACATTGTTTTTTAATTGATTATAAAAAAGTTATAAAGAAAAAAGATATATATATTCAATTTTTAATCGAAACAAATATTTTTGGAAGATGAACACGATGAAACTAGAGACAAACAACACGCAATGGGATGGCATGTGAAGTGAAACCGACGAGCTTTTATCGTAAAGTAGGATACGTTAACCGCTTCGTGCTCATGACTCAAACGACTGCTTTAAATAAGCACGATGTTTGTTCTGGGAGATAGCTTTGCGTTCTCCATGTCGGAGGTCGATACAAGAGTAGGTAGTCTTCTTTCAAAGTATACATGAATGTATGTATTTTGAATCTTTCAAGTATATAATATAGCAGAGTTTATCAAATTGTTACACGGAATAATATTCAAAAACATCGAGAATCATTGATTGCTAATTGCTCAAAAATTGTAATTTTCACAAGTACAAATATTTTTATTATATAATAAATATATTATATATAAATATATTATATTAAATATTTGTCCCTTTCTTCTATAATATAATATATACTCTCTAATAACTATCTATATAATTGTCATCTCATTTTGTAACTCTGTCTTATATTATTTTTAAATTTCTTCTATATCTGAATATAATAAATGCAAATAAATAGAATGTTAAAAATTTTTTAATCATTAGAATGTTTCAAAGGTAAATATATCAAAATTAAAATTTCATTTCAAAGAAAGAAAAGTGTTCGTTAACATGCTATGAATCGATGTGTAGCATCAAACTTATATTTAGCGAGGATACAAGTCGACTGCTTTGCGCGATACGAAATACCAGGGAAATATATTTCATTGTATAATCCCCTCGAGAAGAATCCCAAAGTAGCTGGCTCGTTAACTCTATTTTAAAGACCATACAACGATGGTTAAATTTTTCTAGTCGCAATTTTTTATCAGTTTGATTTTTTTTTCTTTATCACAAAATTTATGAATTTGTAAACAAATATGATATATATATATATATATATATATATATAAAATGATTATAATATATACAACACAAAGAAGTATTCCGGATATTCCGAAGCAAGTGCATCCTGTATATTTAATAAATTATATATTAATATTTTTAACTTTGTTTATTATTAAAATTATATTTTTTAATATTATATTAACTAAATGTTCAATACTAATTTAATAATAATAAATATAATTAATAATAATTTTATAATAATAATTTCTACTGATTTAAAATAAATAAATTGAATAAAGAATGAAAAAGATATTTGTTTTCATTTATTAGAGAAATATTGAAAAAATTGGAAGAAGGTTACATGCATGTTCGATTCTTCGATACGAAGAAATACAGAATATTATAAGAAACATATATCTATATAAACTTACTGTCGTGTTTTCTACCGAGCCATGATCTTCAGCTAAGGAAGATCTGTTGTTCTGCAACAATGCTTCGAGACTTTCAATATACTCAATTGCGTTCCTTAAAATCTCAACTTTTGGTAAACGTTGATTGGGATTATTACTTGTTCTTCTTTTTAAAATTTCAAATGCCTCATTTACCTGAAATACAAATAATTTTTCGGATTATTATGTGTTATGATACGAATCGAAATACTAATATAAAAAAAAAGAATTCTATCATGAACTCAATTATTCATATATATTTGAAACTCACTTTTCTCAAACGTCTCCTTTCTCGTAAAGTAGCAGCTTTTCTTCGATCGACAGTGACAGTTTTCTTCTTGCAAGCTTTGCAGGCCCAAAGTAAACATCGGCGAGGTCCATGTATTGAAGTAGCGGCATCCAGAGCCACGTCAGGATGAGGCACATGTTCATGTAGTTCGGTTTCGTTCAATTCGTGATTCCTTTCGTTTGATTCATTCAATTCGTTACCCTCATTGCTCTCCTCGGCTTCGACGGAACCGGATTCAAGATCAGCTGAAGCATCCACCGATACAATAGACGACGCGTCGTCTGAGTCCACCGCGTATCGTAATGATTGCGATCTATCGATGAATAAATTTTTGTTATACCTCTTTTCTTATTTCTTGTATTGTTTGAAATCAAAGAAACAAATCAGAAAAATAAAAAAAAAGAAAAAAAATAAATTAAAAATAATTAAAAATTGGTTTATATGTCGGTAAATAAACCAGATTAGGCCCCGTTTCATGGAAAATGTTTTTTCTGATAGAAATAATTCCAAATTATTGGCAATGTAAGATTCCTAACATTGTCGGTATGACGATGAATTCAAGATAGTAAGCATAATTAAATGAAATATGAAATGGTGAAAATGATTTGACACGCGACAAAATTGCCGTGTCATCGTGTATGAGAACGCATTGCGTTCTTCTTTGAAATAATGATATTATACGATATATGATACGATTTGAATTTCGCTTAAATCCAAAAAAAAAGAAAAAAAAGAACAATAAGAGAAAAAAAATGAAATTGAATAATTTTTTTCTTTATCGTACTGATAGCGTTGAGAGTTCGTTGATCCTAATGCAAAGTCATTTTCAGCTGTCTCGATTACACGATTTTTCGTTTCTTCATCCACATTTTCTTCAGTCAAATGTCTTTGTAGATATTCAATTGAAGGATTATCAATAGAGGTATATACACTTTGTCGCCGACGATAATGATAATGATGATAATACTGATGATGATGCCGATGGTAATAATAACGATGAAGATGGTGATTATGATGCCGAAGTTGTAAGTGATGATGCCGATAAACGTCGTAGGATTCTCTACCAATCGATTGACATGCATAAGATATAGTATTTGTCACAAGAGTCATCGTTTCTCGTAAGACACTCCGATAAAAAGTTTTTTTTCGTGCAATCTTTCTCCACTTTCTTCCACTTTCTTCCCGTTCTCTTCTTCCTCCTTCTCTTTTTTTTTCTTTCCGTCCTTTTTTCGTTTGGAATCGAATAAAACGGCGTTTCTCGACTCGCGTATCAATATTTTGATTATCAATATATTTTTGCAAAGGAAATTCGTGATTGATTCGATCGATTTTCATGCCGAATTCATGTCCCGTTAAGCGATTCCTAACATCGCAAGCAATATCCGCGATCCGATTTCCATTTTTGTTTTTCCTCGGGACCTATCCATCTATCTACCTATCTATCTGATAATTTATTAATCGATCGATCGATCGATCGATCGACCGATAGACCGACCGATCGATCGACCGACCGATCGATCAATCAATTATACCTGTAGACAATCGTTGGAATTATCCAATTTTTATACGAATTTAAAAATAAGAAGGCACGTGAATGGAATAAAACGTATAGAAGAAACGTATAAATAGAAAATGTACACAATATAAATGATGAGAGATCAATAATCGATGATTGAAAATTTTCAAAAATCGCAAAAATCAAAGCGAAAACTCTAAGATTAAAAAGTTGCAATGTGTCGCACGTCGCAACGCAGTTTCCGGGAACCGGCTCGTGGCCCTGAAACGTGTACGAATGCGGACCGCAAGCTCTCGTTCACGTTCGTCGAGTTCCGTACCCGATCACACTTATGCTCGCACTCGCGCTCACACTTTGAACCACGTTCTTCGACCGTCGAAACCCACTCCTAGCGAACAGTTCGGATACTTTACGAGCTACGTTTAGCATCTGGGTACACCCAGATGGATTATTTTCGACGAGAAACCAACCAATTGGAGTCCGTGAAAATTCTCCGACGTTCACTATCGTCCCGCCTCTTTTCTTTCTCTACTCGAATCTAATGGTTGGTCAAATGTCGTCACATTGGGGTGTGGTTTCAATCTCGATACTGTTTAAAATTTTTTCATCTTCTATCTGATCTATAAGTTACACATCGAGTTGATATAAAGTCATGATATTTTTCCTTCTCTTTTTTCATAATGATTCATTCTCCTCACAATCATTGACAAATTTGAATGAGATGTATTCGAGAATTTTCAAACTTTCTTATTTTTTCTCATATATTTAAATATTAATTTCTCAATTGATCAAACTAAAATTACAATATCTTGATATCAAAAATGGAAATATAATTAAAAGAATATAAATATCATTTCTTATTCAATGCAACTTAATGCGTCATCATGGCGAAAGATATATATATATATATAAGTATATGTATATAAGCGTATTATATTCGCTTCCTGTCTTTTATACTAGATGCGATCGACTTACTTTTACTCTCGGATTGGATTGAACATATCGAACAAATAAAAGCTTTTGATTCAAAGAAACAAACAAATGATGAAACAAATGAGGAATTTTCTATGTAATATCAAAGACCAATGGGTAAGCCAACAAAGGCCATTCGATGATATAAGAGAAGAGATTAAAATTAAAGGAGAGCGATGCAGAGAACACGAATTGCCCTACGGCAAACGGCGAAGATTGGCCTTGAACCGGTGACCTATTTACCTACATAGGAAAATATCGTAGAAAGAGATTGTAAAGAAGGACAAAAGGCATTTTGCAGAATATAATCGCAAAACACCGAGGAAATTAGAAAGAGTGTTCGAAGAAAATTAACGGTTTTATCGATAGATAAATGAACAAATCATCCAGTTGAGAAATTTTCATTACACTGTAAAATTTTTCATTTTTCATTTTTCATCGTGTAATGTGTTATCAATATAAATAACATACATATATCCATGAATGTATCTTAAATAAATTAGACTAAGTAAATTAGTGTATACAAATATGTATCCGAATCACAAATAAAATATAAATATGTAAATAGTATATAAATGTATAAGTATGCATCTAAGAAAGAAAGAAAGTTTGACGCGTAATAGGGGTGGTGCTGTATTGCATCCCTATAAACAGTATTCGTGAAATCTCGGACCGACTCGGAGGTAATCGTGTCGAAAACGAAGAGAGAAAATCGCAAGGCGAACTATTTGAATCGGAGAAGCGAGATGGAAAACAGGTCACCCTCTTCTCCTTTCAGGATTCGGTTGGCTGGGATACCTCATCCGGCAAAGCTAAAAGTTCAGGAAAGGGCAATGCCTCACCCATTTTTATGGAAACGCATAAATCAAGCTGAATGATTCACGATTCTCTTTCTATTTCAGCTTTTCTCGTTTCAACTTTATTTTTCGAGTGATCACGAGATTACCAATACAGAAAAGATTTTCGTCAAATTTATGATATTTTTTTCGGTTTATTTCGTTTTCTTTATGTAAGTATGCTTAGTAGCAAATCCAATGAAAAAGAAAAAAGCATTCAGATGAAAGATAAAAATCGATTAGATCAGAATATAGTTGACAATTATAACGAAGATACAAAAGTAAAAAGCATATCGAGATAAGTCATTACCGAATACAAGAAATTTTGTTCCCGTAATTGCGCGCGCGCGCGCACAAACTCGGATGTATGCCATTGTGTATGCATGTATACCATTATGTATGTCAGTATGTATGTGCTATGCATAAGAAAGGAAAAAGAATAATTCTGTAAACAGAGATCGTGAAGAGCTAAGGAATGATCGGAGGAAAAGAAAGACAAAATAAAGTATAACGATACGGCAGGAAATGAAAAGAAAAGTGAAAGCATAAAACGAGGGTAGCGACATAAAGAGGTTAGGATGGTGTTGAAAAGTGTGCAAAAGCGGCGCTGTGAGAAGAGACGAGAAGAGGCGCGGAGAGTAGTTGAGGGCAGAGGGGAGAGGACAACGAAGCAAGAGTTTGGGCGAGGAGTTGGAGGGGGAGGTTTTGCGAGGGGTTTGCAAGGGGTTGCGAGGGGTTTGCGAGGGGTGATCGGGAAGGAGAAGAGAGAGTTGGTCGTCAGGTCGTGTGTTGCGGGCTGCTGCGGCTCGGGCGCGACAGTTCTACCTCGACCATTGCCGGTTAATTTTCGCAAGGCGGCTACGTATACGAAACAATAGAGGTGATCTTTTCAATGCGATACGGCGCGATATGGCGACAGTTTGTGTGTTAGGTTGAATCGTAAATCTACTTGCAACGCTTCGGTTACATTTCTGACTTTATCCTCATCGCGGTATTACAGACGGTAAGCACTTTCGGTGTTCGGACGGATCATCATCGAATATATACATCAATATCTCAACGTGAACCAAAAGAAACTAAAGAGGAAAGAAAAAAAGAGAAGAAGCGAACGGAAGGAAAAGAGAAGAAAAGAATTTCATATGACAAGAATCATTATCGTGTCATCTATATATCGAGTCCTTATAATAATATATCAGACTACGGCATGTGGAAATATATTAACCGAACAAGATCGTTAATTTCATCAACAATATACATCATAGCACGCGATTAAATCTCAAATGCATATGTTTAGCTCAGAATGGATAGCAAATTCTGATTGAATTTTTCTCTCTTGAACAGTGTAAATTTTTGAATCTTCGTACCGATCTCAATTATTATCGTTCATTACAATTCTTACAAATCTTTTTTTTGTTACGACAACTGTTTAATGATTTAATTCGGAAATTTTTGATATGAAACAAACCGATTAGGCGTTTTTTGAAGTAAGAATTGATTGAATATTGTGCAATCGCCAGAAATATGAACAATCAATCCCGTGGTAATTTCTTGCTATTAATTATCTTAATTTTTGATTGAAAATTCGCGCGCGCAGTATTATTTTTCAAGAGATAGAAATAGAGATATTTGAGATAGAAATAAAATGATAATAAATAAAGAAATAAAATAAATGAATCACTGATCAAAGAAACCATATATATAAACCATATAATTGCTCTAGAATATACGACAAATCGATACTTTGTATACCTTATCACAACGCATTTTGTTGATCAAGATCGACATCGAACAAATGACGCGATTTTTTGATGAAACGATGAAACGAATGAGTTAACTCATGCTTTTCATTATGATCAAATTTTTTCAATTGTCTTTTAGTTTTATATTTAAATATCATTGTGTTCGAAATTAAATAATTGTTACGTAAATACATATATATATATATATACATACATACATACATATATAACGCGACCGCATGTAACAGGCATTTATATATAGTTCATGTTCATAAAATTCAATAGCGCATGCTGAATATTTGTATATTCTGTTATTACATCACAAATTATAGAATGTTATATATTTAACAATAATCATATTTAATAGTAAAAGAATAAGACGAACGCTCAAAATTTCCAAGTACAAAGAGTCAAATATAATATAATAATGTATAAAAATCATAAAAGATATCATTCGATCAAAAAGGATTTGGTGAGATTCTATAAAGATAATCATATTGAAAATAAATTATCGAAATGTTAATTATTTATCAATTGATATTCAGTTTCTTCTTTACGTACAATTCAAATCCCGATATTCGTGGCCTAATTCTTCTCGTTTAAATCTTTTTTTGTTTCCTTCCTTTTTTTCTTTCATTCCTTTAATTTCTCCCCTCTGCCCTTCTTTTTTATGCTTCTCTGTCTTTTCCTTTCTTTTCTATTTTAATTCCATTTCCTTGTCGTTTGCAAAAACTCTTCTTGTTTTTCGACTAATTTTTGAAAATTAAAAAACTAAACTTTGGCAATGCTCAATTAAAAGCAAGTACAAAACTTCACAAAAACAAAAACTATTTTTTTCTGCAAATATAAATATAATAGTCGATACACAAAAAAAATTCTGTCCAAATGCACAGTGTGACGTTAAAAAAAGCTACCTCAATATTGTATTATCTTCTTTTTGATTGCATATATCGTATTTAACAAGTTAGATCCGATTTCACGATTTCTTTTGCAATAGGTTCATGATTTACAGATAAAAAATCATATTAGTTGATTAATTGGTGAGAAAACAATCGTATCTTCTTTCTTTTGTATTGTAATTCGAATTTAAAAGATTGAAAGAGTTAAAAACAACTAACTAATGACACATCGAGTGTCGATTCGATTTAAGAAGAAGGATATGTATCATATCGAAGTAACAAGTTGCAAGCATTGTAGAAACAATGCCTCTGCTGACGAGGGAAGTTGAGTTTAAACTTTGGCGAATCGACATGCTGTTGTGGGAATACTGGAACATACATTCCAAAGGACAAAGTAACGAAGAAAAGAAGACACAATCATGTCATGGGAATCAATCTCTTCGAGAGATTATCTCGGGTAAGTATCGAATAAAATAAAATAGTGATTTATTCGGTTTTAATAGACGTGAATTCTCGGATTGCGCGAGAATCACCGAAACGGGAAAGGAAACGAAATGGGAGGGGCAACTGTCGCGGTGCCATAATACTCGGAGATAACTTGGTATATAGGTCAGAAAAAGGGGTTACAGATGCCTCGCCCACTATGAGCATACAGGTCGTTCGTCTCGAATTGAGAATTCCGCGATTGAATTTTCGCATCTCTTTGTTTGATCGCAATAACCGCCATCATTCTTGTAATCTATTTAGGAAGGAAAAGAATGTTTTCATAATCTAATATTTCGTTCGATCGACAATAACAAACTGACACGAATATAATAAAAATTATAATACGAATATAATAAAAATATATAAAAAATATATATAAAATAAAAAATACAGTTCTATATATTATTGATTTGAAAATATAAAAAATAAAAAAAAAACCATTTCCTTGTCGTTGAGAAATTGAAAATGCTCGATCTTTATTTTCATGTGTCTTTTCGCAAGTCCACGAATCGAAAAATATGTAATCATGAAATATGTAATAATACGCGATTGAGCAATCGTTGAACGTACCATTGGAAATTTACAGCGGGGCGGCCAGTCATCAACTCTCCGCGACCGCTCTTCTGGGTAGTCCAGATGGATCGCGGCATCCGCTAGATGTATGTGAATTCACCGAAGAGGACTATCGGCATCAGAATTCCAATGGAAACACTCATTACCAGAACGGCAGGTCCGGCTCTGGTCTATGGGAATGTCTAATAGGTTGCAGACGTCGTTTAGACCAACATATGGCTCGAAGACGGGTAAAAATTTAATTTTTTATAACGATTCGCAATTTCGACGCTCGAATTTATCCCTTCCTTTTCTTCGGTCACGGTCATTGCCGAGAATGGGATCATGGCGCGTATAAGATGCACGCGACTATGATTGCAAGTCACGCTACGTATAAAATCGATTTTTATATTTACTTATACTTTTGGATTTTCGCGATATAATGTAGTCGACACAAGTAAAAAAAAAAAAAATGAAAGAGAGATAAATCAAGAAGGAAAAACTTTCTGATTGATCGTTTGAGTTAAACGTCAATCATGCTAGCTGTATTATTTTTATTCGACGTTTAATTAGTCTGTTCTTTCCATTATTGTCGAGGTTGACCTTCGTGCTATTTATATTACACAGGATCGAGTGATCTTAAACCGATGGAAGAAGTTCAAGGCCAAATCGATACAACCTCCTTCATCATCGTTTTAACTGATAAACGCGTGTATCTATATTCTCTATTTTTTTCAGGTGGAACAAGGCTTGAAGTTATATCGCGCTCATAAACAACAAGCTGCTGTTCGTAAATGGAGAGGTGCTTTAAAGAATATCAGACAACGAGAAGATAAATTCGCCCTTCTCGGCTATCTGTATCAAGCCTACATGGATTGGGGAAAGTATAGGTATGTGATCAGAATTACTTCGATACTTTTGTTTTTGAATTCTTGTCCAAATGCTTGTCTCTTCTTCGTATTCGCTACCTAAATATGCTTTTTCCAAATCGAAATAACTTTTCATTTCAACTAGTTTTTAATCAAAAAAAATGAAGGTGGAGAAAATAATATGACATCAATAAAAAAAATAAGGAAGAACGAGAAATGAAATGGATAAAGAGATGAAGCGATGAAAGAAAGAAGCGAAAGAAAAAAAGAAAAGAAGAAAGACACGAGTTGGTTTGTTTCGCCGAAAGGCACTGGTTGTCCAGACTATTCAACCCACTTCAATGCTATGGAGAGGCACTGTCAACCTCGTAACTTAAACTACGAACAGGAAGAGAAAAAAGCTTAATAAAGAGATTATAACCAAGAGATAATATTTAATTAGCGAGACACATCATACTTGAAAGGTGAAAGGTTCGAAGATTCTTGACACCGTAAAGAAGCTTTTTCTTTTTTTTTTTCTTTTTTTTTTTTTTTTCTCCCTAAAAAACGAGTAACGAACCACTAACAAACCAACATGTTCGTTATTACTCGCAGATATTCATTGTGCTCATTCATGTGTGAAAGAGTATTTGATGCACTTCGATCTTTCACCATTTCCTATTTTTATTTCGTTTCTTTTAATCGTTCCATGAACGAAACTTTCAACTTTAACCAACCAAGTTCGTCGCTCGACTTATTCTCGCTTTCGACAACAACTTGTTATTGATAACAAATAAATGAACAAATGTAACCTATTAAAAAAACCATACATCTTTTTCAGAGATAGCATCGATTTTGGACACAAACAGTTATGCATTTCCGAAGAATTGGATTCGCCAAACATGCGGGCAGAAGCCTATTTAAATCTGGCGAGGGCACATGAAAGATTGGGCGCATTAGATAGGGCTTTGGACTATGCGAGACACAGGTAAAAATATCTATTATTTTTTTCTTATTATTATAATGGTAATTATAATGATACGTTAAATTATTTTGGCTTTTTTATTACATTATACATATGTCTCAGCTAATTTGATCATTTCGAATAATTGCTAAACGATACATTTTATAGGAAAAAATTATAAGAAATAGAATTTGAGAGAAATTTCGAGAAATACATCTTATAAGCTACATGTTTTTTTGTGAATAGAGACATTCCCCAGATTTCAAAATCACTTTGATTTTTTTAAATAGAAAAATCTATTTTTTGTATTGTAAATCATTAGAATATCACATTCGAAATAAAAATATTATATATCAATCTTCATTAAATTTAAAATGCATTATCTTTAATTTAATAATTAATAAGATTAATTAATTAATAAAATAATTTTATCTCTAAAAGCTAAAGTAGATGCTTTAGAAATAGTAATTTAATTTTAATACGATGCACTCAAGTGTCATTTTGTCAAAATTATTATGTTTTATTAAAAACTTTTATAACAAAAATAATTCTTTTTCTTTTTCTTTTTTCACAAAATATTTTATTTGCGAATAAAGCAATATTTACTTGTTATAAATATATTAATTTAAAAGATGTATTATTGGTTACAAAACATTAAATAAATTGATCATTAATGACAATGGAGTGAATAATTAATATATGATGAGATATATTCAATAATAAATAAGATAATTAGATCATATTTTTCATTGAAGATTTGATAGGATGAAAATAAGTATTGAAATTAAGTTGAAGTTATATTAAAGGAACATTAATTCAAGGATTTAGTTTAACTTAGAGATAATAAATATATATTAAAAATTATTTTGTTAATATTTAACTATTTTAACTATTAAGATTAAAATGCATGAAGATCAATTTTTACTCTAGAAATGATATTCTAATTTATAATATAAAAAAAATTCTATTTAAAAAAATCAAGATGATCTTGAAATCTCTGAAACATTTTCATTTACAAAAAATCACATTTTATGAGATATGTTCCTCAAAACTATTTAAATTTCATATCTTAAAATTTTCATGAAATTATATAGCAGTTTCGAGATCATCAAGTTAACTGAGATATATACAAATAACTTATATATATGACTTATATACTTTATATACAAATGATTTGTATACGGATAAAATATGCATTTATCAAATTATCCGATTCAAATTATTTTCAATTGATTTTTGATTTTCGAATTTCATATTTATTGCTCGATTTAATCCAATTGAATAAAACTATGAATGAATTATTTAATATGTTGTTTCATAGCTTATACAATGAATGCGATCAATGTGCGACTGCTGGATTGGTTCATTTGACCGTAGGCAGAGTTCACTTAGAATTAGCAGGATTTTGTAAAGCTTTAGAAGCTTTTCAAAGAGCTCATAAAATTGCTCATTCGATTCAAGACCCGTCATTGGAATTGCAGGTAAGCTTTTAAAGATTCAATCTCATTCAGATATAGATAATTGTTGTTTCATATTGTTTTCGATCCACAGGTATACGTAGGTTTATCGGAGCTATTCTGCAGATTACACGATGCTGATAAGAGCGCTAGGTATGCGGCTAGAGCTTACGACCTCTCAAGAAGCTTGCAACTGGGCGACTTAAATTCCCGACATCATAGAGCAGCTCTTCTTCAGATGGCAGCGGCACTCCGGAAAAAAGGAGAACTCGGTGACGCCCACGATTACTGTTCGGTAGGCAGTAACTTTCTTTCTACAACCCCCATATTCAACTGTCACGTATCCACTTGGACCTGTTTATTTTGATCGGGAACTCGCAGGAGGCAACACGATTATCGTTAGTTTCTGGAGATCAAGCTAGTTATGCCAGGAGTATACGAATAATGGGAGATATTTATAGAAAAAAGTCCGATATAAACGTAAGTATATAAAACGGATAAAAACTAGATGGACAAATTCTTATTCATATAAAAAATGAAATAAAGATATAAGATATAATTGTGTGATTATATTATTGTTTCGCTCGTAGAAAGCATTTCGACAGTATGAAAGTGCGATGGGATCTGCGGCAGCGACCGGAGACCGTCTCTGTCAAATGGAAGCTATGGACGGCGCAGCGAGATGTCTTGAGGCCCTTCGATTACAACATAAAATATGCAATTGTCGTCCTCTTGAATTCAATACTAGGCTGCTCGAAGTAGCTGGATCAGTTGGTGCGAAGGTAAGAAATCTTATATTTTAATTTCTAATTTAATTTTGACTAACATTTAGATCCTAATAATCTTCGCTGTTTCTTCTATTTCTTCTATTCATCCTCCCCTCTTCCTCCTCTCTCTCTCTTTTCTCTGAAATGTAGTTCCTGGTACGAACAGTGAGATCGAGGCTTTCCCGTATTTATGGTTCTCTTGGAGATGAGGAACAAAAGACTCATCACGAAAGATTAGCTACGGCAATGGAAGAAGATTTAGAATTGCGATGTGGTAGTTGTAACGAGCCTTTCGGCCTTGAAACCGATTCTTTGGAAGCATTACCTTGTTCTCACATATTACATGCCAGGTAAAGTGAATTCAAAAATATAACATGTTTTTTTCATTTTTTTTTTTCGAATTGCTTTTATTATTTATCGCATTATATTATATACAATTTATAGGTGTGCATACGACATTTTAAAAAAACGTGACAAAAAGAAGAAACGTTTGTGTCCCGACTGTCACAAATCCGTTAGTTCACGATTGTACCTGCATTGCGAAGATCCTCATGGCATGAATACTTTAAATCACAGTTCCTTGAGTCTGGCATCATTGAGAGCCAGCAGTTTAGCCACGTTGGACGACTGTCACGCTACTAGCAGTGTTTAAATCTAATAATCCGTTACATCAACTTACTTATTTACTTATGTACTTAGGATTTTGTTTACTTAGAATTTTTTGAACAATGTGTTCTTTGTAATGATCACTACTAATATTTCACGTATGAATGTAAACAAAGCAAATGCAAGCACGACCAGTTGTATCCTAAATCTGACTCAAAATGCAACTGTGCACATTAGCTTAATTTCAAATATTTTTTTTAGGATATAAGAGATATCAAGCTTGCGTACAGTCTGCCAATTAAGCGATTAGACATGAATATTACTTAATGCGTGAATTGTTTAACATTTAAATTAGAATGAAGAAATTTAAAAAATATTAGCACAATATCAAAAGACTTGATGGCAATAAAAATGCACATTCAATTCATTCGTCTTTTCTCATTATTTTTCCCTTTTTTATCATTAAATGATTTTTTTGTCATTATAAATATCTAAATATTATACAATTTATTTTTTTAATATAATATAATGCATGCATATAAAATAGTGTATGTCAATACTTTTCAATAATATTAATACATTAAGATATTCTTATTCTTATTGATTTAAATAAAAAAAAAGCTATTTAACATATGTATTTGATACATGTAATTAAAAAAATAGTAACATTTTAAATATTTTAAGTGTAATTAATGTAATCCTTGAAATAATTTAATTGTAATTAGAGCTTCGAAATATTAAATAGTAAATATATAATATAATAGTAAATATATGCTATATATAAGCTTTTTAAAGAAACGACTGCGACATCTAGAATACAGTTATGAATTCACATAGTGAACCGCCATGACAGCTGATGCATTTCGTATCGCTTGACGTTTGATCAGAACATGTCATTTTGCACATTTAATTTCGACAAATGGCAGACTTCTTTTTCGGTTTCGATACGTCGCTTGCAGTAAGTAAGCAAGTTCTTCTTGGGATTATTTTTTTTTTTTATCTCTGTTTAAAAATAATGAAAAATAACACGACAAGATTAAGAGATTGTGCATGATTTTAACCAAGAGTCGCGTCGTGGTTTCATCAGAAATATAACAAATTATAAACTGTCCAATGCAATCCAATGCTAACACGAATAATTTATTCATTTAACATGGATTGGCAAAGATTATTTAGCGAATTCTTTATATCTTATATTCTATTATTTTTTTTTTTACGCATATATAGTTCTTAAAATACATAGTATGTATCATTACCATTTCCAGTCGTTATGGAGATACATACATCGCATAACCTCGTCAATGTTTTAATCTCTTCAAAGGTCATTAATACTGCTATTTTTATATTAATTATTATTTTTCCTTCACAAGCTTGTTTTATTTTAATTTTTTCTTTATTTTTTCTCCCATAATTTTGTTTTATTTTAGTTTTCTATTAGATGTTTTAACAAAATAAAGAAAGCGAATGATCGTTGTATAGTTTGCTATTATCTTTGTATCAAAATTTTTTACTTATCAATCAATTTTATCAATACAATTTTGTATTAATTTTAACTAATTTTGTATTTATAATAAATAATTAATTAATAATAAACTAAAAATAGTAAAATATTATTTTAATAATATTTCTTTTTTATTTACTATTTTTATATATACTATTTTTTATGATTTATATAGAATAGCAGTTTAGAAGATGGTCTCGAATGTCCCTTTGAAGAAGATGATCTTGGAGAAGAGGAAGAATATGATGCTTTGAATGATGAAACTTTTGGCTCTGAAGCTACTATTGGTGATTGGGAAAAAGATCATGAAAAACTTGCAGAAATTACAGAATCCAATCGCCCTCATAATCAGAATACTTTAAGCAAAAAAGTAAATATATATAATATATATATATATATATATAATATATATATATAATAATAGATTTATTATATTTTTTTTTATTTATAATCATTTATATCAACTGATTTGTAAAAAAATTATGATTATTGTTACAGAATGTAACCAATTTAGATATTGAAGATAATTTATCCCATTTGGTATTAGATGAAAAAGAAGGTATTGTTCCACGTCCTGGAGTATGGGATAGTCCTTCCAATTTAGTCCTTCCTAAACCTCGACCACCTTTAACTTTATCACCAGCTATAACAAATGTATGCACAGTGGAACAATTGGAAAAGGGATTAATTGCAAATAGACAACCATCTAGATTAAATAAACCTACTCAAACACAACAACCACAACAACAACAACAACAACAACAACAACAACAACAACAGAAATCCGATGGATCACTTTTGTTTGAATCTTTGTCTGCACCACCGCGCTTCCCGCCAGGATTGGGTATACCTCCACATCCTGTTGTTTTACCAACAAACATGAGATTTCCTCATCCTCAATTTTTACAGCATCCTAGATTATTAGCCAGTAAGTATATGAAAAATTAAATTTCATTATTGATAAATTAAGATGATATAAATTTGAATTCACATTATTTTCTTTTGAAATCAATATATTTATTTTTACAGATCAAACTGGAAATGTACTGAGATATCCTATTACAGCACACTTGATGTTACCACATACTGCTCAAAGACAACCAATTCATGGTTCATTTTGTAATAATTTTCCTGTAAGTTTTAATAATTAATTGTATATAAATATTTCTAAAAAATATTTTGTAAAAATTAATCATATTGTTACAGCAACCATCGCTTTCGAATTTATGTCCACCTCCATTTTTACGAGCAGATCATAGTATGATACCTCCTTTCTCTAGCAATCAGACCAGTCATCAACAACAGCAACATTCTTTTCCGCATTCTGGAAATCAAAGAAATCAAAATAGAGCTTTTCATCATGGGGAACAACAAGGAAATCACCAACCATTTTTTAAGAACAATCAACATCATCGTAATCATGATCGAAATAATCAACGACATTATCATTATAATCATCACTGTCAAGGAATAAATGGAATCATCGGATCAGGAGAATATGATGAATATGCCGGTCTCATGAGTACTCGGGAAAAACAGTGGTTAATTAATATTCAATTATTGCAACTTAATACAAATGAACCATATGTTGACGATTATTATTACATCGTTTTCTGCGATAGAAGAAATAGGCAATGTATAAATCAAGAGCAAAAAGATAAAAAACACAATAACAATAATAATAATTATCATAGAGATTCCAGGTAATCTTAATCTTTCTTTTATTTTCTTTCTTTCCTTCTTTCTCTCAGTTTATTTATTTTTTTTCTGCTTAAATTCCTGATAAAATAAATAATCATTATTATTACATTTGTTTTCAGAGATCGAGAACAACCACATCATGTGCTTTCAAAATCTATATATACACCAACACAATTTGAAAATTCTTTGGGAAAATTACAGTTTGCTAGTGTTATTGCACCACGTAAAGTTATTGATATGGATGTTGTACCAAATAGTGATCCTCAATTAGCTACTCAAATACAACAAAAAGATACAAAGCGAACAAGACAATTGTTACTCGAAATTGAAAGGGTATTAATTTTTTTCTTATTTTTAACAAAACGTTTGATTTATCTATAAGCATTCTATTGCATGAATAATATTATTTTCAGTTATATATAATTCAATTAAAACTTGAAGATTTGCATAATCCTTTGGCTCTACTTAGCGAGCAACAACAAAATCAAGAAGAAGAGAATGAAACAAATAATATTAAAAAAGGTAGCTCAGATATAATAAATATGATATTATCAGCTTTTCTTCAATTAATACAAGATGATAAATTAGCGAGCATACTAAGTATTCGAAAAGGAAAGGTAAGTGAAAATAAAATACACATCTTTATAAGAAATAAAATACGCACATATACATACATATATATATATATATATATACATATACATACATAATACATAATACATAAATACATAAATACATAAAAAAAAAAAAAGAAAATTATATATCGATCATTCGAATATTATTGTTTATCGCAGACGCTGTTGTTGAGGTTCTTACCATATTTAAATATAACGGACCATCGTAATCAATTAGAAGAATTATGGAACGCGATATTTCGAGGATTAGCTATTATAGGTCGTAGAGATTCTCACCTCTTAATAAGCCTGTATTCGGAATTTCAACGATGGTTCGATACCGTGCAAAACTTCAATACAATATTTCGACTAGCTCGATCGCTATCTGACTCTGTTAATCAACCTATCAAGAACAACAGTTTAGCTTTTGCTTTAACGAACAAGGTTTGTTTAAAACTTTATTGTTAAATTTTTTAATTTTTTATTTTTCTTTTTACATCGATTTCAACATTTAAACGCTTTTCTGTTTAGTTTGGTGTATCTGTAATTGCTTCGATGTTTGAACAAGCAGAAAAATTATATCCCACGGATGATTCTTTATCTTCGGAATGGTCATCTTTCATAGCAAACATCATTGAAATAATTGGTGAAACTCCACCCTGTGTCGCACCTTGTCGACCGATTGCTGCAAATACGCTCAATCAGCATTTGAATCGACTATCTCATTTAAAATGCGGGAGATATACAAATCTGGAACTTCTATTAACTGATGCCAATCCTTCTCGATAGTTAAACGTTATTAGATATTTTTTTGCCATTTCTTTAAACCTGCTTTTTATAATCATTGATTGAACGACAAATTACATTGAAAAAGAGACGTAAATATTTTAATACTTTATATCATTAAGATTAATCAAATATTTTCTGCATATGATTAAATATAGTAATTGATACTCAAGTTTCACATAGTAAACATATATCTTTTATGTTTATTTTAACAAAATATTATATCAATCGTCTGATTTATTATGTCAAATAATATGATATTGATTAATAATCTGTATAATATTTACAATTGTTATAGTTTGTTTACAATTTCTTTTTTTGTTTTGTTTTTTTATTCTAAATATATCACGTAAAGCAGGTATTAATTATATTCATTGGATAAACTGTACATCTTATTTTATGCCCTCTATTCGTCATTCTTTCTCTATCTTTTCTAGTTTTTGTATAATATTTTTATTACAATCTCATTAAACAGAAACATATATAATTCAATTTCTAGATATTTTAATATTGTCTTTTACGATTTTGCAAAGTTTTGCAATCTTATGTGCATGTAATTTGTTCTCTAAAAATTTTGCTTAAACTTGAATTATTAATATTCATCATTAATCAAATTTACTTCTTCAGAATAAATATGAAAACATATCTATAATTATATATCGATGTTTTTATATACAAAATATTTTTCATTTTCTTTCTATTATTTTTTTTTTTTTATTTTCTTCTTTTTCTATTATCGATTCTATTAATGATTTTTGATTTATTTTTTTCGATGACGAATGGAGAGGGAAAAGTGATAATTTTCGTAGTTTCGTTTCAGACTAAAACATATTTCTATTAAATAAATGACAATGAATATCCATAAATTTGTAAAAAAAAAAAAAAAGATAGATTACGTTAAAATATAAATATAAGTTATTAATTTCATTTAAGATTTTGAATAGGATAAAATGTTATTATGAAGTCAACTATTTGTTAAACAAGATTAATTATATAATACTTAATTAATCTTTACGTAAAAATAATTATAATATAAAAATAATATTGTTCATCCATATCTTTAAAAAACCGAAAGAGCGCAAGAATCATATATGCAATAATTATGTAAGTTTCTATAAGTTTCTATATGAGAAACAAAAATATTGCAATGTTTTTGTGTAACAATTAGCGAATTAAAAACTTTCATTGATAAAGTTATAATGTGAACATTGCAGACATATAAATTCAATGATTTCATTTTATCTGTTATTTGTTTGCAAATTTGTTTCATAATGTCTGTTCAATCATTTGGTGTATATTTTAAGAGCAGGATTATTATTGAATAAAATGTTGCATACTTACTATGAATGAAATAGTCACAAAGATATCAAGTAGTGAGTACATGGAATGCGATTTACAATATACTACTACACGGCCTTTGGTGCACAGTATGAACGTTTACTTTTTATTGCAGTATACATTTATAAACTCATATGTACATTTAGCTTGTACATAGAGCGATGAATGAATATATTTTATAATCGGATGCGAAAAAGAGAATTTATTTTTTGCCTCCGTAAATATAGCATTAGATCATTTTTGCAAGAATAAAAAAGGGTAAAAAGAAATTATAAAAATGATAAAAAAAGATAGATCATGTTATTTTTCAATATCAATATATATTGATATATTGATCATGAAATCGAAAATTTAATTCGATTTCTGAATCATAGATTTAATTTTAATTAATAATAATAATTTAAATTACGTGTATATTGCGTTGTATCGAAATTCAACGCTAATACTCTTTTTTTATTACATAAAATCATAATTTTAAATATTGCGAATTACTTTCCCTTACTTTAAGAGATATTTAATAGAACAGCTTTTAGGTTTCATAAATTTTTACGTAGTAATTTTTTGGTAAATCTTATATTTATATATTGATTAACATAATACAATATGATATAAAAATGTGATGTAAAACATATAAGCACTGTCATTTATGTTGCAAACCAAGGTTAGTTGAAATTTCATAAGAAATGAAATGTCTTTATCATTTGTAAAATAATGATCGAATGATAATTAAACTAAAGCGAGTACTTTTCAATTCTTTACTCTGGGATGAAAAATATTTGTTGAGACTGTACAAATTTTTTAATCTTTGAAATTAAATTGTATTATAAAGTTTAATTCGCATTATCCCTTGCATATAATCTTGCGAAATATGTTATCTTTTTATCCTAATTACATGCGTCCACATAATATCGCGTTGTATACTGTAAAACAATAAAACGTCGATGTATTTTTTATTTTTTATTTTATTAAAAGCAATTTAGAATGCATACAATATTAAATAGGAAGATCGTTAACGCATAACATATATACGTAGATTTTTGTGTGTATATACAATCGTAAATTTTTAATTTTTTTTTTTTTTCTTAAAATCAAATGCGGGAATAATTTTATATATATAAAAAATAAAATACATAAAATATATAATAGCTGATATTATAAATAGTTGATATATTATATGAAATAGTATTTCAATTTCTTTTTATATAGTGCAAATATTTAAATATAAATATAATAAAAAATTTCATGAGAAAAAGAAAAAAAAAATAGATGAACTAGAAAAAAAATATTTCATAAGATAGATTGAATCAATTAAAAAAACACTTTTCATCTTTCATTAAAAATATATTTTTATAGAATTTTACGTTATATTTACACGAAATTCTTGTAGAAACGAATTTAGATATAAATATCTTTTTGAAAATTGATACTTGTGTATCAATTTATTTCTATCACTATTCTAATATGAACATTAATAAAATCGTGTATTTTATATACATTTTTGATGTGATTAACAGTAATAATTCTATTTCAATATGTATCTATATAATCGATATAGTTTAAATTAAATTAAATCATTAAACCAATAAATATTTTGCATTTTGATTTTTATTATTTAATATATTATATATATATATAATAAAAAATATTTAAGAATATATATTTTTATATATATATATATAAATAACAAATAGAAATTATAATTGAAAATTAATATTGGAAAATGATATAATGTTTATGTAGATCAAATATATTGTGTTTACTGTGTCTACTGTTAGAAAGTAATACATGAGGAGTTTATAAAAGGCAATAGTGAATAATGATAAAAATATTTCTACAATACCGACATAGATATGGAGAAAAAGTGACATTTGCAATTCGTTGTTCATTGGCGCTGTTGTGCGTGAGTAACGTTTCTCGCATGCTACTCGGTACGACTTTTCATTTAACAAACATATATTAACTGATACAACAGTTTTCTTTTCCTAATTAATAATATTTGTTATTAATATTTTTTTAGTCAATTATTTTTTTATTATGAAATGTAAAAATTTTGTTAATAATTTGGTGATTCTTTCTAAAAACTTGTTTTCATATTGGCAGGTGTTCCATTGTCATAACGGATGAAATGAATATTTATCTATGGAAAGGTCATTTCAGTTTGCTCGAGAAATTACAAGTATTTTTTATATGGTTTAAAAAAAACTGTTAAATTTTGTTACCGATTAATTTAATATAAATAACGAATGAATACAAATAATATCGAATTTGTAATTATTAAAACTGTATGTCTTGACGAATAAAATTTTAAGTAATATTAGGTAAGTAAAATAATTTTTATAAAAAATCACTTTATATTTCAGTAAAATATATATAATCAGAGTTATTTTTTTTTTGTTTTTTTTTCTTTTATCAATATATTGAGTATTATTTCTTCTTCTTTTTAGATTATTTTAAATAATTTGAGAGTTTTTTTATTGTGTTATGTGATTAAATTTTTATATAATAAGATAATTTTACTATTCTAGTATCATATTTTGCTTTTTTTTTATTATTTTTATAAAATTTTATTTCAATGAATGAAAATGAAATTAGAATCGAAAATGATTTTAGAAATTTTGTAATAAAATAATATATAATTTAAATTTGTTAAACTTTATTTGATATGGAAGTATTATAAAATACTTTATTATAAATATAATCATACATAAAATTATTAATTTTTGAACTATCTGTTAGATATAAAATATTCAAATATTTCAAATATAAAACATTTTCTTATAAAATAAATATCAATATAAATAATTTATAAATTTTTATAATTTATTATATTATATTATTATATATTTATTATATATATTTATTAATATATTGTTATTTATAATTATTCATTATTTATTTATAAAATTATTACATTAATATGAGAACAATTATTAGAAATTTAATAAATTTTACTGTACATAAATATATGTTCATAAAAAATTTTTCATATCTTTTATAGAAAAACAATGTATAATAGAAGGTAACAACTGAGGAAGATTAAACTATGGCCAACAGAAAAGATAAATCATCTACAGGTTTTGTAAGTATAATATTACATATAGAATTAAAGTTAATATAATTAACATTACAATATAAATAGAAATGCAGAAAAGAAATAGAAAATATGATTTATTTTTAATTTTTGTTTATACTGTTTATTCAGATTTCATCGACTATCATCCATCTGATGATAAAATTTGAAAATTGTCTTCTTTATGCGATATCAATTTTTATAAAATTTTCAAAAAAATTAGATAAATTATGACATATATAATGTCTCTGCATATAAGTATAAATCATCTTTATAATATACAACATATTTATAACAATCTTTATAATATATAAGAGTTGATAATAACTTTTATAATGGAATCATGCTTGTAAAAATAATCAATTTGACAATATTTAATAATATTCAAACAATCAATGAAAGTAGTAATTTAAAACTATCAAAGTAATGTACTGAATTATTTAAATTATTATCATATAAATATGATATTTTGTTAGTTTCGTAAAATCGTTTTTATAAGAATACAATTAAAAATAAATATAACATTATATTGAAATTCTTAATTTAAATCTCAGCAATATATATGATGTGTGTGTGTGTGTGTGTGTGTGTGTGTGTGTGTGTGTGTGTGTGTGTGTGTGTGAACACATATGTTATATTTCCTGCTATAATTATGAATTTCATATGATAACAGAATAAATATTCAATCGAAATAAATTTTAATTTTAGATATATTATCGTATAAAATTAATTTGTTCAGCATGAATAAAGTTTCGAATATAATTTGAAAAATATTTTTCAAAAATAAAATATTATTACATATCATTACATGAATCAGATGAATCAAAGTAAATTATTTCACATACAGAAAAAAATTATTTTGCGCGATATATATTAGGACAAAATAACCAGAATAATTTAAGTCAATATATTTTTTTGTTTTTTTTTTTTTATCATTTTATTTCATTTCATATTAGCTTTTCTCGCTTTTAGAAATTTTTTTTTATTTTTTTTGTTAATAATTATTAAAATTAAAAATTTTATTTCTGAGAATTTTAAAAAATTGTTTAATAATTAAAAAATTATTTAATTAAAAAGATTAAAGTTTCTTTCATAAATTATAAATTAATTAAAAAGATTTAATGAAAAGTTATTATTATTAATTAAAAAAATTTTAACTCTATTTTCAAACAATCGTATAAATGATCGAGAAATATGCAAAAAACATATATATTTAAAATATATAAATAACAATGCTTTTTTTTTATTTTTTTCTTTGCGCACAAACAAAACAATTAACGAGAGATATAAAATATGATAAGAAAAGGATGGAACGAAAGCACGTTAGCTAATTATCTTAATTATCTTAATAATTTATTAATTATATTATTATTAGCTAATTAGATTAATCACTTATAGAGATTATATCGTCGTTCATTCGTATAACTTTGATCTCATCTGTGCATACATTTCTTTTCTCATATTTTATATCAACAACAATTCGTTAGCGCATAATGTTATCAATAAATTGATAAAATTTATATATAATATTAAAATTAATTTTTAACATAAATTTTGAAAGTAGAAAAGAACAAAATATTTTTTGCAAATTTAAAATGTCAAACAATATATAATAATAATAATAATAACAATGATTTTAAAATACTATTTTTATTCAAATTATCGCAACCTTGAACTATTCACGATTATGACATCGAAAAGTGATATAGAAAACTTTGAATGTGAATCACTATTACTGTCACTCCTTCATTAAAGTTGCCAATTATCATATTTATATGCCGATAATTGTTTTCTCTTTAACAACTAAATTATGTTATTACATTATTGTCTTAAAAATTCCTAAAAAAATTTTCTAAAAACAAAAATAAAAGAAAGAAAAAACAATTCGTATAGATTCGTATAAAAATATGAGAAATATGAAAAAAAGTATGGAGGTAAAATGATTGCAAGAATTTAAAGTCATTAGGAAAAGTTGTTTACAATATAAATAAAAAAATTATGAAAGAGTTCCTCGTTTTATTCGCATCAAGAGGCATGAACGCATGAAGACCAGTCTGCGATATACATGATGCGATGCTAATCTACTTACTTAGTTGATCGTAGATAGACTTGTAACAATTACGCAGACGCGCTTCTTGGATATTATCGAGGCCAACGCGATTTTCCCTTCTTTCGATCCGTTCAATGACTTGATCATGATGCCGTTAACTTGATTCTACTTTTCGATTTGATACTGTTCGCTCGTTAATCCAAGAAAACATTTTATTCTATGATTCAATATCTGTCCGAAGGAACGCGCTCGCATGCACCAATCTTGATTTGTGCGAAGGTCACGAAACAATCGCGCCGTGACGTGCCTTGCCGATTCATTGCTCTACTCTGAAATAAAACGACAAATTACACTTTATCGAAATTTTTTATTGGATTGTCATATATCGGGAATTTATTGAAATATTTTTTATCTCGAAGAATCTGAACTTTGAAAAATTTTATAATACTATCATAATATATTTATCGGATAAATGAAAAACGATATTATAAATAAGTCAATTATTGTAGATAAAGATATTATTATAGATAATTCTAGAAATCAAAATTTTTTTATTCAATGAAAATAACTGAATAATTTTGATGCATCAATTATTGTAAATGATAAGACACTTCTCTTTTTTCTTTTTTTAAACTTTTCTACTAATGATCACAGATTGAGTAAAATTTATTTTCAAATATGAAATCATGGAGTTGCAATGAAGAAAAATAAAAACAAAGTCAGAAGGGGAAAGGGAAGAGAGGGATTAATTCTAAGAATAATACAGTGACATTACATTCATTTCTTGATAATTTATACGAATTGAAAGTTGAATAATGTAATATCATCATCCCTATTCGTGAGTGAGTGCTATATTAAGATCGAATTAGAACGACAGCAATTTTGTAATTGATTTCTTTTTTATTTATTTATTTTTTTTATTTATTGTTGTAGCTGGACACATGGTTCGGCCGACCAAAAAAATCCGGGCGTGGAGGTGGGGTCAGAAGTGGTTTAGGAAACAATACTATACCACGACCTCATTCCGGTGATGATTTCAATGAGATTGAGCAACAACGTTGTATCATTGAAAGAATGGATAAAGAGACAGTAAATGACAAATTTGAGGAAATGTTGGTAAGTTAAAATCTATCTTTCGATCCATGATATATGATTTAAAATAATTAAATTTTTTATCGAAATAGGCTAATATGAATTTAACCGAAGAAAAAAAAGAACCATTACGACAACAATCGGAAGCGAAGAAAAGAGAAATGTTGGTTTTGCATTATAAAGGTAGCATTCAAGAGAATAAATCAAAATTTGATAAACCTGCGGATTATATTCAGTATTTGGCACAACCTGATTTAAGTGTCAACAAAATCTACAATTGCATTGAATCATTAAGAATAGCATTGACAAACAATCCTTTAAGTTGGGTTCAGGAATTTGGTACGAAAGGATTGAAACAGGTTTTAGCGACGCTCAACGAGTGCTATCGAAAGTAAGTATTTTTCATAAAAAAAATTATTATATTATGTATCATAGCATTGGTATTTAATATTGTCAATTAAGAATTTCTAATATTCATATTATTCTATTGCAGTGCCTTCATATATTATAATAGGTAATCTTTGTAAAAATACTATTTGTTTTAATTTTATAGCAATTTAGAATATTTTGCATTTTTTTTTTTTTTTCTCTCCTCTTAGCTTTTTATAATGATATAGATGCACGTTATTATGATAGTATATGATAATATCTGATGTATAAATATATATATATGAGAACACTAGTAATATTATACATATATGTATGTGCGTTATATGGATAATTTATAAGCAAGATTCTGTAAATTTTATGCCAAAAAAATTTTCTTTATATGTTTTTTATATAAATCAGAATGTTAATATATTTGTAGAATATTTTTATAGAATGAATATTTTTGTAGATTATACAATGGATAATATAAAAATTGATATGTAAAAATTTTAAATTTGATTGAAATTTTATTATTAAGCCTTTATTTATTATATTATAAGCAATTTAATTTTAATTTTGTTTAAATTAAATGAAACTAGAAAAAGATGATGCAAAACAGCAGTTTCGGAGATAAAACTGTTTTATTTTTGTTTTGTTTTATATCTAACGCAAATTTCAACTTATTATAACTTAAGTAACATTTTTGTATATATAAATTTTGTTTTAACTTCCAGAATTATTCCATAAATATATTAATGTCCTGCATATATATTTTAATGCTTCAATAATTGCCATTAAAGAACAAAATGTATAATATCAATGTTTGTTCTTTAATTGCATGATAATCTATGTGATGTTCCATATAATAGTACTGATCGATTAATCGAAAATCAAAAATCATATAAAATTTATTGAACACGATTTGAATTGAATAGTTCGAATAATCAATGATTAAATATTCGATTTTTCTTTTCGAATAGTTGAACAGTTCAATGAAAATATTCTTATTTTTTTTTTATTTTGTTTCCTGTAATTAGTTTCAATAAATTGATATTCTTTTGTGTTTTATAACAGTGACAATCGATATGAACGTATACAGTACGAATGCATTCGATGTTTGAAAGCTATTATGAATAATACTGTTGGTATAAAGGAGATGTTGGCTCATCAGGAAGCACTCACGATCGTAGCTAGATCATTGGAGCCGACAAAACCATCCGTTATGTCAGAAGCTGTAAAACTGCTTGGTGCAGTTTGCCTTATTTCAAGCGACAGTCATAAAAAAGTTTTGGATGCGATTACTATGAACGGAGAATTTAAGGGAAGAGAAAGATTTTTACCTATTGTGCAGGGTCTAATGAATAAGAAAAATGAAAATCTAAGAGTACGTTTTATAATCGCTCTATCATATTTTTTTTTTCATTTTCATTTTTCAATTTTATTCCTACTTTATTTTTTTTTTCTTTATTTTCTTTTTCTCATTTCTCTTTCTTTTTTTTTTTCTTTTCATTAATACTTACTATTAAAATGCAACTTATAATATAACTAATAAATTGCAACTTATTGATTGATAGGTGGAGTGCCTTCAACTTATCAATTCTATCATTTCTTCGGCCGAAGAATTAGACTTTAGATTGCATTTACGAAATGAAATCATGCGAGTCGGTTTAGCCGATATTTTAGAAACATTGGAAAAAAATGAATCTGAAGATTTAGCTAGACACTTGAAAATTTTCAATGATCACAAAGAGGAAGATTATGAAGAATTTGTACAAAGATTTGATCACGTACGATTGGAATTGGATGATATAAATGATTGTTTTGAAGTAATTAAAAATATGGTAATGGAAACGTCTGCTGAACCATACTTTTTATCAATACTTCAACATCTTTTATTCGTCAGAGACGATGCTTTAGTCAGGTAGGAAAGAGCATAGTTTTTTGCATACTATTTATTTTCTTTTTTCTTTTTTTTTATTTTCTTTTTTCTTAATAGACCGGCCTATTATAAACTGATAGAAGAATGCGTATCACAAATTGTGTTGCACCGTTCAGGCTGTGATCCAGATTTTAGTGCAACTAAGCGCTTTCAAATTGATGTCCAACCATTGATCGATACATTGGTTGAAAAATCGCGAGTGGAAGAAGAAAGGCGATTGGTTGAAGTATTGCAAAAATTAGAAGAAGCTATAGCTAGTAAACAAGAAGCAGAAGCAAAACTTCAACATGCAGAAAATAAAATTAGAGAATTGGAGCAAGGAGGAATAAAATCAACTAACGGTAATGCGGTAAGTTTATCATGAAATTCTCATTTAAAGTTTCTATTTGATATAAATATAAATTTGCTTTTGACTTATAACTATTATTAACAATTATTAACTATAATTGTTTTGATTTGATAGAAAATTGGTTCAGTCCTATCGGGTTTGGCTGGAATTGGTAATCTTCCACCTCCACCACCTCCGCTTCCAAATGCGAGTGGATCAACAATAATAATAGCACCGCCACCTCCGCCGCCACCACCTTTACCGGGTTCTGGTGGTCTATGTCCGCCTCCACCACCACTTCCTGGATTAGGAGGACCACCACCACCACCTATGCCTGGTACACTAGCAGGTCCTAAACCTCCACCAATGCCACAATCAGGTCCACCACCGCCAATGATGGCTGGGATTAATTCCGCTATTAACACGTCACAATCACTTCCATTAGGATTGAAGCCAAAAAAAAAATGGGAAGTCGATGCACCATTGAAGAGAGCAAATTGGAAAGCAGTAAATATTTATACGATAATCTTTTTTATTTATTTATTTATTTATTTATTTATTATTATTATTATTATTATTATTATTATTATTATTATTATTATTATTATATAATACAACATATGTTGTAGATCATGCCACATAAACTCACTGAAAAATCATTTTGGATAAAAGTACAAGAGGATAAGTTGGCCAGTCCCGAAATACTAAATGGTTTAAGCTTAAAGTTTGCATCAAAACCAAGTGGGAAGAAAATTGATGACGTTGTTGATAAGTAATTAGCTAATAATTATTCCATTATTGAAACATGAAAATTTTAAAATCATTAATAATATGATGCTTCTCATTATATAGATCAGCTTCATCAAAAAAAGTGAAAGATTTAAAAGTCCTTGATGGAAAAGCTGCTCAAAATATTCTTATACTTCTTAATGGTACTTTAAAGCATATGTCATATGAAGAGGTAAAGTCTTGTTTACTCAAATGTGAAGGACCCGTTATTTCGGATAATATACTTCAAGGACTGATACAGTATTTACCGCCACCCGATCAATTAAAAAAACTTCATTTTTATAAAGATCAATATGATGATTTAACAGAAGCTGAACAGTTTTGTATTACTGTAAGTGCATTTTTCAAGCAATCTTTGATCGAAATGTTTTCTATAAAAAAAACTGTATCTAAATATTTGAAACAACTATTTTATTTATTCTTTGAAATATTTTTGAGTCTATGTACTATAGATATCGACAATCAAGAGATTGTTGCCGAGATTGAGATCATTAAGTTTCATGCTGCGATATGAAGAATTAGTGCAAGATGTAAAACCGGATATAGTGGCAGGCACAGCAGCTTGTGAAGAAGTAAAGAATAGTAAAAAATTTGCCAGAATTCTGGAATTGATCCTATTGCTTGGCAATTATATGAATTCTGGTTCAAAGAATGGTCAAGCATTTGGATTTGAAATTAGTTTTCTTACTAAGGTTTGTTTCTTGTTGTGAATCATGTTTGTAATTTCCAATGATTTGTAATCATGTTTATAATTTAATATAACAAAATCTCAATTTTATTTTTTTATTATATAACAATAATTTCTTTTAATTTTCAGTTAACTAGCACTAAGGACATTGATAACAAACAGACTTTAATGCATTATTTAGTAGACACAATAGAACAAAAGTTCTCAGAGTGTCTTAGTTTTACAGAAGAACTGGCACATGTAGATAGAGCAAGTCGAGTTTCTTTAGAAAATGTACAAAGAACTTTGCGACAAATGGATTCTAGTATTCGAAATCTCGAACAAGATTTATCGAATGCTAAAATACCACAATCCGATGAAGATATGTTTTTACATGTCATGGGTGTATCCTTTTTTTTTTATATTTTTTTTTACATTTTTTTTTCATCATTATATTGTAATTACAAATATCGTTAATATTTGATTGAGTTTTTAAATTATATTCTTTATTACATTGTTTTCCTTAAATATCATATCGAATATACAGCCTTTTGCAAAAAAAGCCCGTGAATCTTACGAAGTTCTTCAAAATATGTTTAAAAATATGGACAGCTTATACACAGAAATTTCCGAATTTTTTTCTTTTGATAAACAGAAATATACAATAGAAGAATTTTTTGGCGATATAAAAACATTTAAAGATGATTTCATGGTAAGTAAAGAAATCAAAAAATAAAGCTTGTATCACATTTATTTTTGATGTATATTTTTACAGCAAGCTCAAAAAGAAATAATAAAAATGAGAGAAACAGAAGAAAAACAAAGAAGAGCGAGAGAAGCGCGAGAAAAAGCAGAAGCAGAGAAAGCAGCTCGAGTAGCAAGGAAAATAGCACTTGTCGATATGAATGCACATGAAACTCAGGAAGGTGTTATGGATAGCTTAATGGAAGCTCTTCAAACTGGTTCCGCGTTTAGTCGACCAGATCAACGTCGGAAACGTCAAACACGCGCTGCTGGTGGTAAGTTGTATAGGACTGCATACGCTTCAACGAAATCTACGAAGAAGGAGAAGTTGTTATTTGCTAAATTGTATCAATCGGGAGAACTTAAGCAATTTGCAATTAAACGAAATCAAAGCAATATTACGCGAAACGTCTCTCTTTCTCGTGATATGCTCACAATTTCAAAAAATTCTGGTTTCACACAATATGCAACACCAGAAGAAAATCAACATTTTTATAAATGTTTATTACTTGATCTTGTCACAAGAACGCCTAAACAAGATAAATTTTTATCTAGGATTAGTTCATTTAAGAGAAAAAAACAAAGTGAAATCGCATCCAAGAAAATACGTATTGATCGATTAATATTTGAAGAAACTCCAAAAAGAGAAATTTCTATAAAAATATCTCGAAATTTCGATGATATTTCGAATTTATCAAATAATTCCGACCAATGTGTTGCATCTTACGGATTTGTGATAGATGAGCTAAAAAAACATACACCGAAACATGTCAAATCGAATTTAGTTTCATCCTCTCCAAATCAAACGATTTCTATAGGTACAGCTGTAAAGCTTAGTCCAGTTAAACGAAGACAAGTTATAGTAAGTAAGAAACATAAAAGAAACAGTATAGTGCGGCGTGTTGTTAAGAATCGTAAACAAAGGCATTCGAGATTTAGCGATAATCGAAGAGCACGAAAGCTGTTCAGTTATTTGGGCAGTCCTATAGGCGAAAGTATTTCGCTGATCGAAAATCGTTCCCTTTTCCATGCATTCGAATCGGATAATAGAATATCGAAATCTATGGACAATATTATAACTAAAATTGATAAAATTCCATTAAAATTGATTGAAAGAAAAAATTTAGATATCCTTTGTTGGAAAGATGAAAATAAAAATGATTTGTCTATACAATATTCGAATAGTCAGCTTTCATCTTTGAAGTGTTTCTTTCAATGTCCGATCTTGAATTCGAACAGAAAAATGACTGAGTTGGACGAACTTACTTTTCAAATGACACAACCTATTACTATTGAATCTCGAATTAATAATAATCTCGATACTTTTCATCAGTTAAAATTGACAAATAACGCATCAAAAAATTGTTCGATATTTGCGCTCAAAAAGGACACGCTTTCGATATCGACTAAACAAGAATGCAATTTTATAATTACAACCGAAACTGAACAGATCGTTTCGATGAAGAAAAAACATCGGAAAAGAATTTGGAAATTTTGGTAGATTTGTTAAATTGCGTTGTTGTCGTAATTTCTTCAAATGTTACATATCTATAACTGTTTCATATTGTATTTTATTGTATTTATGTAATTTTAACGACAAGACTGAATTTTGTTTCATTAATATTATTATATATTTTATTTTTTATTTTTTCTTTTTTTTTTCTTTTTTTTTATATATTTTCTTTTCTTATTTTCTCTTTTTATATATATTTATTTCTTTTTTATAATTCTCATTACATTGAATTTAAAAAAAAAACATGATTATTTTTTCTCTCGTACTTCTTTTTCTTTTCTTCATTTTTTATTTTTGGAGAAATCATATTGCATCAATTATCGAAACAGTTTTTGCGAGTTATTTGAAACAGGAAAAGAAAAAAGAAATAAAATTAAAAGAAGAAGAAAAAGAAGAAGAAGAAGAAGAAAAAGAAGAAGAAGAAGAAGAAGAAGAAGAAAAATACATATAATACAGTTTTGTTTTTACAAGAAAAAAATTATAGGCTGTGCTATATTTTGTGATCGAGATATAAACAAATATCAAATATATATACGCGTATACATGTATCGATCACTTGTAATTGCATTCGTTGTAAATATCGTAAGTTTCAAATTAATAAAGAAAGTTTCCTGTACTATCGATCACTATTTAAACTATTTTCGTTAAAACTGATATGTTGCGCGCAACAGATAATTCTAATCAACATGATATGCAAGCTTATGACGTAAAATGATGCAAGTTAATATAGCGCATACAAATGTATGAAAGACGGATACAAACGACGTAAATATTTCTTTTTTACAGCAGAAAGAAGAGCTCAACTTAATAGAAGTCGATCGCGTACCGGATTAGTTGGAACTGGTTTGCTAGGAAGAGAACTTTCAACGTAAGTATTTAGATATAATAATATTTGTATTTAGATCTTCTCGCGATATATATAATATATATATATATATATATATATATATATCGTATTCCGATACTCAAAATCGATTATCATATACGATATGTTTGATAATAACGAGAAAAGATCACAACGAAAACAAATTCAGTAAAAGAAATGAGATAGACTTGGGACAAGAGAAGAGGTATAAAAAAATTATAAAAAGGGATTATTTCCAAAATAATACTTTGCCTAACAAACATTGTTACAGAGAACTTATAAGCTCGGCATAATCCATGGAATAGCCTGTTTCCGTCCTAAATTCAAAACTGTGATGGATCGAGTGTTTGTTTTATCAATAAATGATAAATCGGTAAAAAAAAATACAAATAACTTGAAAAACATATAAATTTTCGATATTAATTTATTCGGCATCAACAGAAGAATGAGCTTTGATTTTTGTGAATTATGATTAATCTAGCAGTCTTCCTATTGTTATGGATAATATGTTTAGAGCAATTGTTTCGTAGATATACATAACATGTATAATACAGTACTAAGCGTTTCAATGACAATGAAAAAAAAAACATTTAAAAATAACTCGACTAAATTTTCTATCAAATTTTCAACTTCTTGATTAGTTTTTATTTTTATTGAACTAATTCCGTTAATAGAAAACAGATTTTACGACTGTGAAATAATATTATGTAAATATGCATATATATATATATATATACAATATGCGTACAGTAGATCTTTTTCTCTGCGATAATCCAAAGACGGCTGATCTTAAGCACGGTGATCGATTAGCCTTGTTCGATTATGTGAAAACGGTATCGGTAATCGAATCCTTGTGTTGTCGCGAAACCTTTCAAACCGTGCCAAATCAATAAAGCGTCGAAAAAAAAAGTGAATTATGCGATAATATTAAGCATTTGCGTAAAATGTTTAAATGCGGACTGATTTGTAAAAATTCAAGTGAATTTGAAGATATATTTTGACGCTATATTAAAATAATGAAAGACCATTTATTTTTCGAATCTCGAGTTCGACAATTGTTTATATTGTATGTATTAACGTCGGATTTTAAAATAATTTGTATCTATATTGTGAATATGTGAACTTAGATAGTGTCAATACATTGCGATCAATACAATCGTAACGCTTTTTTTTTTTTTTTTTACCTTACGATAAATAAAAACACCTTTAAGTAAAAGGTGTGGTATTTGATTGGTATTATTGTTCGAGCGACAATCAATATTACAAAACACGTTGCGTATATGTATCTATGTGCATTGGCGTAACTGCCAATCAATTTTTTTAACAAAAATTGCTTACAAATAATAATAAATCAATAATAATAAAATGAAAATAAAATAAATCGATTAATAATATGAAATTGGATGGAATTGAATAAAAATGAATCAATTCGAATATATATTTATAATCGTTGTACAGTTTAATTGCGATTATTTGTTCGGCTTTTCAATTGTCGCTTGAGCAACGACAGAGAAGCCTTGCAACGGCACATCGATACTATATGGCATACATATGCGCATACGCACATGCGATGGTGTTCTCGAGCGCGCACACGCGTGCGCGTCATTATACTCGCGCACACCTGTGAGAGAATAGTTGAATCCATTTGCAAACAGACGAGGTCACATATATTCGTATGACGAGAAAAACCTATCTCTCGGTACACGCGTGTATCGGGCAAACAAGTGTACGGTCAACAAGCTAGTTGACGCGTAAACGACGTGCTTTTAGCGTCTCAATATTTTAGTGCATTAATCGTGGTACTGTTCGCAGTCATTTTTTTCTGATTTCCTAGCAGTCACATTCCGCTTGATTCATAACCGTACATTAAAACGGAATATTTACGTGTTCAGTTTGACATATGAACACATAAGCATGCGACAATTCGCCTATTTATCCGGCGACATTTTAAATGTTTAAATATTTTGAATCGATGATTTGCACTGTAATTTTATGTAAATTCATTATTGAGAAGAAAACATACGCATTTTCTGTCCAAATCACATCGAATAGTAAATTGTACAATATCGAATCAACTAAACGAACAATTGACGCTACAACAATTGACTGGATGCTCACTTTTCTCGTTTCGATTCATATCTCTGATTACAACAGTCTTTCGTTTGCACATCTACATTTATAATATATTAATTAAAGAATAAGGAAATATTGATATCGTGGATGAAACATTCTATTTGATTTCAAATAGTTTACCAATTGAATCGTATTATTATTTTCTGAAGGTGATACATATTGCTCGCTCGATAGAATGAAGAATATACAATGAACATACCTATCGTGTCAGGAGATATCATCGAAAATGATACCCATAAACTACATTTTATTAGGGTGAGTATCGCATCAAATTTTTTAAATACCCTTTTTATTTCTAATTTTACTAATTGATTTACATTATTTGTTTTGTTTACTAAATATATTACATTTTAATCGAATATATTTCGATTAAAATATACGTTTATATGATACAATAAAATAAAAATATAATTAAAATTTCTTCATTAATATAAAATAATGAATTTAGAAGAAAAAGGAAACTTCAAAATATTTATATGTCTATAACGTTCAATAAATTTCACTGAATTCACTGAATTAAAAATTCAAAAATATTATCTTGATAGAAAACGATATCTAAATTTTTTGCTTATATATATATATATATATAATATAATATATATAATATAATATATATATAATTATTTTATCATAAATAGTAAAATATTTAATATATTTGTTCATTCAACATAACGCATTTATATGATTTTTTTCATTGATTCTACGTTCTTTTTTTCTATGATTTTTTTCATTGATTCTACGTTCTACGATCTTTCAATCATCAATCCAATAACTACATTTTACTTGTACTTTATAAAGTGATTTAAATATAATAACGTGCGTGCACGCGCGCGCGTGTGTGTTGTGTGAGTGTGTGTGTAAAATTGTATTGTTTCTATATGCGCGCGCATGTGTGTACGTAATAATAAAAAATCCTCAAAAAATTACAATAGGTAATAACGAATTAAATAGACACAATTTGCAATCATTTATTTATAATATGTGATTCAAAAAGTAAAATGCATAGCAAATAAAATTTTGATTTTCTCTATTTAGAAATTATAGAGTATTGATCTAAAATAGAATTATTTATTGCAAGCATTTTGAAAAATTACATACAGAAAATTGCAATAAAGAAAATATATATATCTCATTAATCATTAATCTTATAAATTTTCTATAAAAACTTTTAGTAGAAATTTTTATACTTGTTAAGTTGCAAGAGAATTATATAAAATTTAACAATCTTTTTGTTTCATTGTATAAAATGTTGTATAAAACACAATCAAACAGTCAATGTTAATATATGAAAAAAATCATAACATAGATATGGAAATCAAGAAAACATGAATTCAATTTGCTTTAAATAATAAATATATGCATAAAAATGTATGAAATATAAGGATTAGTAAAAATTCGTCAAGAGACGATCATTTCAAATTATAAAAAATTTATGAAAGATTTTATAAAACAATCGAAAGATTGCTGAAATTCATATATTAAATAAATATGATAAATTGATTTACAACTCATCATAAAATTAATAAATTAATCTAACTCATAATAAAATCTCAGATTGTAAATTTCAAAATAATTCAATTATATTCAGATTTAAAAAAAAAGCGCGAATAATTTTTTAAAACATTTATTAATGTTATAATTTAATAATATTAAAAAACGAAATAACCGATAGTGACCGAAAGAGAGCGTAGTCGGTCGGATTGTCACGAATCGAAGCGAAATTTGCCGAATGAGAAAAGAGATCCGATCGGTCATTAACTAGAATAAATTGTGGAAGGTGAAAAATTGGTGGATTATATTGTGCGCGTTATTCGTCTTTTGATCGATATCGAGCCAATAGTAATTTTCTTGGTTAGTCTTTTCTTCTCTCGTGTTCTTTCTTATATATATATATATATATCCCCTCTTATTCCTCTCATTAGTTCGTTTGATACTCCCTCCTTTGCGCGAGCAACACCGTTCGTCGGCTTGGGAATTCCGCTTTCTCATAGAAAAGAAATGCATCGCGGAAATATCGAATGCATCTATTTCTATAACATCTCATTCAGTTAAATTTTTAATTTTATCGTATTGAATGTATTTGTTTACGCGAGTGAAATGTGAAGAGATACATTTGTTACTAATTTATTTAGTGTTTTTTACTATGCAATTGATTATAGAAGGACATGGATTTATCGGTGTTCAATTAATCGGTATGCGTAATTGAGAAGCATCGATCATTTTGAGCTATTTTTTGAGAAAGAATCTTGATTATTAGCATCCGTTAGTGTCCGTTATATCATCTATTTGTTCATATTAATTAGTGAATTAGCGAATAATCTTTTTTAAGATCAGAAAAACAGATAAAAATAAAAAATTTAAAGAACAGTACAATCTGTGATACAATATTATAAGAAGAATAATCTATAAATTTATCAAATTCGGTTGTTTTTAATAATAACCAAAAACTCAAAACTATGCTGATTCTTCCAGATTTAAGATTACAGGTAAATCAAAATCATTCATATATCGTTTTCTTATAATGCAACTTTTTTTTCTATCATAAATTTTAAAAAGTAAAAAGCTTATTTGTTAAATAATTAATTTATTTTCAAAAAAAAGATTATCATCAAAAATGAAAATATTATCTGCATAATCGATGAAAATAATAAAAATTAAAACGACAGGAGAGTACAAAATCTAAAGACGAAATAATGAATGAAAATTGCATTTCCTGTTTCATAAGTATGAAAAGCTATAGCATGCTTCAGATTCGATAGAATATACCTCGTCTACTGAACTCAAGTGGCGATACCCACGCGTAACGAAAAACCACTACAAAACTATAAAAACGTTAGCGTTTATTTCCTTTCGTTTCTTTGAACACTACTTAACCATAATTATTTCCAAATAATTGAAGCGATATTGTAAACATATTTAAAATTTGTTAGGTAAATAATCTTTTAATATATGAAAATTAGATTTATAAAAATGTAGATTGAATATCATAATATTTTGTATCTTTGTATCAAACTTGTTCTCTTTTTGATTTTCACGAAAAAAAAAAAAATAGAACATATTGCAGAAAGCAATTATGTATAAAAAACTATTAAAATGGCAACAGTAAGATCTTTGACTATTTTTATTATTACATACATCTTATTCGATTTCTATCCCGATTTCTTATGATAAAAAACTAAACACAGAATAGCTAATTGATTAGAACGCTTTAAATAATAAATAATTTAAAAGATATTTAATATCATTGAATTAATAAATGAAATCGGTAGTCAAGTATGAAGCATGCCGACCTTAAAATTACATTTTTATGTAGCTGGCCGCACCCGGTAAGATAGAACGAACGTTATCCTTCTCCCCACCATCAATCAGTTTCTCTCCTTTCACCAAGAATTTTCGTTCCATGAAGTCGGTTGAAGAAGCTGTAAGGCATGGTATGCCATAAGATAAAGAAAAAATATTTTATAAATAAATGTATTTCTTCATTTTTCGAATTGATATTATGATTTACTAAATTATTAGGAATAAAATAAATTAATACTAAACTAAACTAACATATGAAGAGAATAAGAATATATATAGAATGAGCAAAAAGAATAAAAAAAGATAGAATGAAAATAACACGTTATTTATTGAGGATTTTGTTTCGTTAAAGCTTTCGCAGAGAATGCTTTAATATACAAATTAATTGAATTGTAGATTAAAATGTGTATAATCGTTTACGTTTTATTGACGAGTTATGAAATAAGTAAAACTTAAATACATGATCACAATCACAAGTATCAAGCATACCATATCTTGAAAATCTATATAATCTTCAATGAATTTTTTATGTAGACTGTTGCTTCTCGCTCGACGAAGTTTATTTTCTATTCTCAACAACGTACTGACATGAAATAGTGATCGAAATAAATGATGTGATTACGAGATTAAATGCTATGTTAATGAACTTATGCATATTTTTTCTTTCGGAAAATCATACATTCTTCCAATCAACTTCGTTGAATAAATAAGAAAAGAGAAAGAACTCTGCAAAATTATTGTATCATTACAATATTTGCGAATAGAAAAAGCTTCTTATTATTCAGAAGATAGAGAAATATTTCAAGAATTCTCTACGAAAAAATGTTTCGGGATGAAAAAAAATTTCTTTTTAATCCGGAGAATAATAAATCACTCATACATGTATAATTTAATCGTTTTTAACGAGCCCAAGTTTGATTCATACTCAGTTTATCTAAGCTCTTCTGTCATTCATATATCTTTTTTTTTTATTTCATTGTAATACAACATAATTGTTGATCTTAATATCAGTGTCCACTTGCAGTACAAATTAAAATTGCATGTTCAATTGATTGTACAGGGTTCCGATCCTAGAGTGGCTACATGTCGAGGAAAACTACAGAACAAACGAAGCAAATTGAATCAAGAGATTAATAAAGAGCTTCGATTGCGAGCCGGCGCAGAAAATCTTTTTAAGTAACTATCTTTCTTCTTATATATATCTTACTACTACTCAATTACATACAATTATACATTATTTTACTTTATATTTCAGAGCAACAACAAATAGGAAATTGAGAGAAACTGTTGCGTTGGAATTGAGTTTCGTTAATTCAAACTTGCAATTACTAAAGGAACAACTTGCCGAATTAAACAGTTCAGTTGAATTGTATCAAAATGGTGATAGGTTTGTGAAATGTTTTTATATTGATTCGACACAGCTTAAATTCACTTAACTTTATATTTGTATATGTATATTTGTATATATATATGTGTATTTTTAGCGAAGAACCGGCAATGCCAATGATACCATTAGGTCTAAAAGAAACCAAAGATATAGACTTTCAGGATCCATTCAAGGTGAGTATTTTATATGAAAGTCATTCTCTTTCATTCAAGTGGTGGTATCTCTAAATTATTATCGCAGCAAATCTCTTCATTTTTTGATTTTACTACTTGATTATTGACAATTGTCTTATTGATCGATGGATTGACAATTTTCAAAAAATCTAAATCATTTTCTGGACCAATTTCTAAATATTCCCGTACACTCATTGTTAATCGTCGTTCGATTGTTGTATATCGATCGGGATTTTGTTTAGTTATCTTTTTATTATTAGAGAATATCGTAGATAATCCATTTAAACGTGGCATCATTACTATAAGCTTGCCGTTCGTCGTATTTCTTCGTGCCGTGCTGCCATTTACTGATACTTCACAGGGTAAAGTCAATTGTAATATTTTCTCTTTTATAGTTACGCGCACGTAATCAGGATGCACATCTACATCTACGTAACAAGTGTCCAAATATCTAAATTCATAATAATATTCGAGTATTAATTATTGATTAATTATATTAAAGTATTATATATACTACATAGAGCAATATACATAATATACATATAATACATACCTATATAAAGCAATCTCTAAAACAATGTGATCCCTATCTTCCTCTTCATTCAACTTGAAAGATACTTTTGGCTGATTAATGTTATAGGGTTTGCCTTTGGAATCAAATAATTTTAATTTATAAGTAGTTCGTGATTCAATTATTTGATCCTTTTTCCGATTTTTTTGTGTTTGTTTTCGCAAAAATCGTTCCGCAATAGCGATGCGTTCTTCCGGTGTGTGACGACTAATTTGATTCCAAAATAATTCATCTTCCTTTTCTTCTTTGTCCTCTACTTGCTTATCCTCTTCATTTTCATTTTTTTCTTTATCTGCATCTTTCTATAAATAGATAATATATTAATATAATTAAATTATTATCTCTTCATGAAATCAAAAAAAATTTGCTTACTTGATTTTTCTGTGATTTTATTTGCTCGCGATAACTTAATAATTCAGCTTCTCTTTTTATCTTATGTTTCATACAACTTCTAACAATTTCCCCTTCGATTTCAGCATAATGTTGTAATGCTTTTATGCGATCCGATCTTTCAATTGGTGTTCCATCAAGCTCCTTTAATTGTATCAATGTTGCAATTACATATTCTCTATAACCTTGATAATCCGCACACGGATTTCCCATCAAAAACAGCTGTTCCAATTGTTCGTTATATCTGTGATACATTGAAATAATTATATTAATGCCTCTATAAATGGATCGTGAGAGAAATGGATTTTTAACTATCAGTTCATAAATCTTCATCCAACAAAAAGATGATTATTTCATCAAAAATCATCAATCGTAATCAGTTAATTATAATTTAATACATTTTGGTAGCATAAACCAAGAATATGAGTGTTTTATATATCGCGTATTGCATATTTACGTATTTTCTGAGTCAAAATAAAAATTGTATATTTTATGATTACAATTGAATGCAATTGACTATATAAACAAAACACGTTTTAATATAAAAATTATATATATAAATATTCATATTATAAATATCATCATTATAAATATAAATATTCATGAATTGCCATTTGTCATATGCAGAAAATAGAATATGCTAGCAATGCGATACAATGTTTAGTATCGATTTAGTATCATTATACGGTAATGAGGATTAAAAATATGATTAATAGATAAAACATAACATATAAAATCATCCAGCCAACTTTGATGAAGAAAATATGGTGTATAATGTACAGATATTTTCCTGACCTTAAACATAATTAATTTAGAAAAAAAATTGAATTTTTTTTTATAAAAATATAAAAAAGTTTCAATGACTTGACATGATTTGACTGAATTTTGACATATTGTCATGAATTTTGATATGTTATCATTTTTCGATTAATTTTTCCTTGTAATTTAATTGTATATATTTCAACAACAATACCTTAAACTTTTGATCCCTCGAAGATCACCAATAAAGTTAACAGTTAAATCCAATTTTTTCAAACTCTCAAGCCCTTCCAAATTTTCAATTACTTCTATATTATTCAGAGCTAAATTCAAATATTCTAACCTTTTAAATTTGCTTAGATTTTCAATTTTTGATATGAGATTATTCTGCAATAATAGAATCTTCATATGTCTGCATGTTTTGTCGATTAATTCGATCTTCACGATATTTTCTTGATGCAATGCGATCTCTTCAAGTGTTGAAATCTCGCCCTCATTATGTTCCGAACGTTTTCGTAATAAATCGAGCGTGATTCTCGACATTTTGTACATATAACGCGAATTCTCGTGGTCGCTAAGCAATTAATATCGAACTTGTCAAACAATGCAATTGTTTATTATTTTATTAATTTCTATTTTATTTCTATTTTATTTATATTTATCACATGTATTATGTAATGTATTATTATTTATTAATGTATTATTACTGTACTTATATATATTGCGTTACAGGATTTCATTCTCGAACATTATAGCGAAGATGGAGTAAATTATGAAGAGGCAATAGCAGATCTAATGGAGACTAGACAGGTGAGCTACTAATAGTTGAATTCCGACAAAATGGAATAAAATAAAAAAAAATAATTGAATTTCTTTTCTATTGTTTAAAGGCAACACGTACACCGACCAGAGATACTGCAGGTATTGCATTGTTGTTGCGGTATTACAATCAATTATACTTCGTTGAGCGAAGATTTTTTCCTCCTGATCGAAGTCTTGGCATCTATTTCGAATGGTTCGACTCGTTGACAGGAGTTCCGAGTTGCCAACGAACTGTCGCGTTTGAGAAGGCTTCAATTTTATTTAATGCTGCTGCTCTTTATACTCAATTGGCTGCGAAACAAGATCGTTTGTCCACACGAGGCTTAGATCAGGCGATTGACGCCTTTCTTCGAGCCGCTGGTACTTTTCGTTATATATACGAAAATTTTACCAATGCACCGAGTATGGATCTTGGACCGGATATGCTGGAGATGCTTGTTCAACTGATGCTGGTAATGACACGTTCGTAGTTTTGTTACACACGTTTTAAATTCATCACAAAATAAATGATTATAATCAAATGAATAGAATGCATTTCGAGTGTTTTGTTTAACATGCATTTTATTATTCTCGTTTCAGGCCCAAGCGAGAGAATGTTTGTTCGAAAAACTAGAACTTCAATCAAAAGATGGAAGGAGTATTGATGTTTCATTGGATCTCGCGCAGGAAGCGTCACAGGTAGCGACCGTCAAAATTTTACTTACGCGTGAATCTAATACGCCTATATTTCGCTTAGATCCCCGAACCATTTTACCGAACGTATGACCTGCGTACGGTCATCAATTGCCTAGGTTGCGGCTGTCTACAGCGACGTCCATGGATTGATCTCGCGCGAACCAGTCCGTGACTACGTTCCAGAAACCTGGATTTCATTGATCTTGGTAAAACGCGAACATCACATGGCTCTCGCACATAAGCATCTTGCACTTGGATTGTTCGATCGATCAATTTCCGAATGGAGAGCGGAAACTAAATTAGCGCTCGAACACATACAAAAGAGTGATGGCAAAACGCAACTGGATATAATCGTGCCACGAGAGGAAAATGAAAGGAAGTTATTAGGTGTGTTGCTAATTATTACCAATTTTTAGTTGATCTCTTTCTGCTCGATTTTATTTCTTTTTTATTCTACTCTATCCAATTCAATTGGATTCAATCTTTGATCTTAATCGATTTAAATGTTTCAGCGAAAGCACATCTCAGGGAAGCTTTAGTTTTACACGAAGAAAGTCAGAGATTGCAAAGAATGTGTAGAGACTTAAAAGCAAAGCAAGCGCTTGCCAAAGTTTTGAAAAGGATACAAGAATCAACAGTAGAAGATTATAATAGAATTAAAAATGAAGATGATTTTCGAGAATTAGATCCACCTGATATTATAGGTAAATGGAGAGATTGCATGGAGGAAAAGCAGAAGATATATATTCATTAACAACGCGAATAATGATATCTATATTTTTATCACAGCATCCACAAAGTTCCAATTGAGCATAACTCATCCGGATTTTGGACAACATGGAGTCGAAGATCTTTTCAAATCATTAGGCCCAGTTGCCATATTTTCGGCAAAAAGACATTGGACTGTACCACGATTAATACAGCTTCAAAGAGGACCTGAAGGCGAAGGATTCGGTTTTAGTGTTCGAGGAGATTCTCCTGTAATAATAGCTGCAGTTGATCACAATTCTTTGGCCGATGTAAGTATATACATATATAGGATGTATATATGTGATGATTAATATATTCTTGGAATATTTTTGAAATCAATTTTAAAAATTAAAATAAATTGTTATACAAAAATATAGTTTAAAATTTAATAACATATTAAATACTATATAAGTATATTTTATATTCAACTCAAGCTAAATGACTAGAAGTTTTATAAATCTAATCTCTAAACTCTAAAGAAATCAGGATGTGCTTCATATATTACTGATTTTAATAAAGATATTCCATAAATTGTATATAATTATAATAAAAAAATATATTTTTTTTTAAATTTATTGAATTAAAAAGATATTAAGAATAAAAATATGCAATCTTTGAAGATAATAATTTTTTTTTTTACTTTGATGTATTTGCAAATTAAATTATAAATAATTGAAATTTTAATAACATAAAACAAAATTAAAAAAGAGTGAGATAGCTTTATCTCTATTACATTCCTATCTCATTTCACCTAATATTTATAATATGCAATAAATTGCTTATAATTTAATAAATAAATTTCAACATTTTTTTTATATTAATTTATATTTATTTTTCTAGAATCGATTTAGATTCACAAAGATATTCACAAATATATTAATAGATTATATTTTTAATTTTTATTTTATTTTATTGATTCTTTTTATTCTTTTTAAAGAATTCTGCACATTAAAAAGCTTTGTAATAAATTTATAATTGAATTATTTTTTTTTCTTTAGTTGGGTGGTATGAAGGAAGGTGATTTTATAGTAGGAATTGGTGATAAAGATGTAAAATGGTCATCACATGAACAAGTAGTTCGATTGATCAAGCAATCTGGCGATTTTATCAATTTAAAATTGGTCACACCTATGGATAGAAATTATTTAAAGGTAAAAAACTTAAAAGACAAAGATTCTGAATTATAATGATTAAGAAAAATGATTTATAACAATCAAAAATTTATTATCGATTTTAGAAACCAGGTAAAATTAACCAGCAGGATAAAGGAAGTGTTTCAGCGAGTAGTTCTTCCGGAATTTCTTCTGGTCAACCAAGTCCTGCTGGTTCTGTTACCACTGCTCATGTAATTAAGAAACTGCCATGGAATCCATTTAAAAAGTCAGCTACGCAGCGTGATAGCAGGGACCTGACATTTGATAATGTAATTCTCAGATGACTCTTTAGATATCATGATATATGGCTATTGTAATTGGAATTTTCGAACAAACTTTGAAAATAATATGAAAATATTTAATATTCATGTTTTAAGTTTTGACTTTCGTTGATAATTCTATTACGATTGATTTCAACATCGCAATTCTCGCGTTATAAAACTCGTATCTTTCTCAACAATTATATGATTCTTCCTATCAAACTCAACAAATACATATAATATACATACACACATAAAATATAAATTGTAAACATATTGTATATGAACAAAAATTTATCGTTTGTCATATCAAAATACAATAATATCCAAATAAACAATAAAAATATTGACATACATTTACAAATGTATGCATATATATTATATACCAATTATATTTTGTTCACAAAAAAAAAAATAATTCATTATATTACCTCTTTTTCCTATAATTATCTTATAATATAGATTCTATTAAAAAAATTAAGTTAATCATAGTAATTATTCTATAATTTAACAAAAATATAAATTCTGATAAAGCTTCAAAATAAATTAATTTTAGATAAAATTTTTTCGTATATATATTAATCGAACAACTTGAAAAATAATAAAATTGATGTAAAATAAGCGTAAAATATATACAAGTTAAAAATGAATAGAAAGGCACAATTCCGAATGGAATCGAATCACGACTTTCACCAAATCAAGAAATCAAATAGTATACAATTGATTATGTAAGTAAGCGAGAAAAAACTTCATATATAATATGTAATTATAATTAATCATTAAATAAATATTGACATTATTGAAACAATCTTTCTCAAAAGATTCGAATTGATGAAAAAAAAGTAAGAAAAAATAGAATATAAAAAATTATAAAATGGTTAAACATAAAACGATTTAATAATAATTATCGATTATAATTCCAATAGCTCTATTCTGGAAGATTTTATCAAATCTTCTTTTGTCATTGAAATGTTGCTTTCAATGACGATATAAATTTTATAAATTTCTTAATGTTTTGTCGCATAACATAGTTTCAATATTTAACGATTCGATCGAAAGAAGATTTATGGTGAAAATAAAATATAATTATGAAAAGGAAGTGAATTCTCAATGACATAGTAAATAGTAGACATTTGTAAATAAAAATTTAAATTTAAAAAAGTTCTGATTATTCAAAAAATAAATGCATTATTCATAAAATCATTTTATTGTAATTTCAAAAATAGCAAACAATTATGTTTCAATTTGATTTTTCAATAATTTTTTTAAAAGATTATAAGTATTTTTCTTTTTTTTTTTAAAGATATTTAAGTATTTAGTATTATATTAAGTATTAAAGATTATAAGTATTTTTCGTATATATGTCAAATCTTTTAATTATTCAGAAATAAAATTAAACTAAAAAGAAAAAAAGAATAAAATTGAAAAGAAGAAAAAGAATAGAATGATAAATACGGGAAAAGTAGAAGAAGCAGTAAGAATAATGCATGATCTTAAATTGATTGTACAGATAACTAAGCGGATCATTTCAATCCAAGTCAGTCAAAAAGCAAGATTTTTTTCTGGAACATATTTTTTGATGCGAATCATAATTTGATCGAAAAATTTGATGAAATTGTATATTTTCATATAATTATAAAAATACAATCACTTAATTATACCGTAATTACATTTTTAATTAATTCTAATAATATCACAAATAAAAAAATAGAATATAATAATATTTCAATTTTGCAGATATTTATATAATTTTATATAATTTTCATTAATGCATGTCTTTTTATTGTATTTGTGACGAAATCAAATTTCATTATCATAAGAATGTGTGTCTAGAAATAAATGAAATTTGTGTAATTATTTACTTTTAATTAACAAAAAACATCAATATAAATATTGAATAAAAAATTCAAAAATAAAAAACGCGGTGAAGAAATATAAGAATAGTTTTCTCGCAAATAAATCAATGTTGAACTTTCTCCTTGATGAACTATCAAATGGCGTAAGAATTTGTCGAGTCTTATAATCATTGGTAGCTCGGTTAAAATTCGAACGAACAAAACGAGGACGCGGGATCAGAGAAAGGGTAAAAAAGTGAAGGGAAAGGAGGAAGAGGAGAAGGAGTAAGAGTAGGAGTAGAAGTAACATTAGTATGTAGCAGCTGCAGTAACAACATAACGAGAACAAGAAGGAGGTTGAGAAGCAAGAAAAAAAAAAATAAAAAGAAAAAGAGAAAAAGAGAGGAACTAAAAACACGAATCTATTCATGAGGAAAGTGCTATTCTGATACTCATCTGCTAGTTCTTTCGTACATCGATGATGGCCAAGTTAAAAGAAGAGAATTACGGATGTGCATTAAGCGAAGCCACGAAAACGATCGCTCGTTTTGAACTTCGTGAAGACGATGCTACTAGGGAAGAAGCACTGAAACAATTCAGACACTGGATCCAAAAGCATCCAAATATCAAGCATTGTAGAACAGATGCAGCCTTTCTTCTCAGATTTCTCAGAACCAAGAAATTCAGTGTACCGATGGCAGAAGAAATGCTCGAACGTTACCTGACTATTAGACAAATGTATCCAAACTGGTTTCAAAATCTCGACATTGAAGATAGAGATATCGAAGCTATAATAGATGCTGGTTATCTGATACCATTGATGGAACGTGATCGTCACGGTCGACGAGTGATTCTTTCTTGCGCTGGTAAGTAATATTCGTTTCTAAGCTCCGTTCTAAATGTTAATTCCAAGTCCGAAATTATTTTTCTATTTTCTTTTTCTTCTCTATTTCATTCACTTCTTCTTCTTTTATTTCTTCTCGTTACATATTTATTATATATTTCACATGATAAAAAATATATTTTTTTTCATAGGACGCTTTGATCCATACAAATATACATCTGCTCAAATGGCTCGAGCTCACAGCCTCGTCGTGGAAGCTTTAATGGATGATGAAGAAAATCAAGTGCGTGGATATACACACATTAATGATGAATCTGGATTAACAATGGGTCATCTCAGTGCTTGGTCTCTAACAGATATTCGTAATATGTTACGATGCATCCAAAATAGTACACCCATGAGACACAAAGAAACGCATTTTGTTAATATTCCAACTTGTGCAATCAAGATCATCGAGTTTGGCATTTCTCTTCTCAACGATAAGTTAAAAAGTCGAATTTTGGTATGTAAAGATATGATTAAATTCTTTCAAGTTTGTTAATTTCATTATATTTTCAATTAAGGTACATAAGAGTTTGGATGAATTAAAAAATGCTATTGATCCAAGTATTTTACCTAAAGAATATGGAGGAGAAATTCCACTCTCTGAGATGATTGGTATATACACATATTTAATTATCATTATTTAATTATTAATTTGATATTAATCATTTAATTAAAAGATTGCGTTTCAATATTAGTGTTAATTTTAATTTTGTTTTCCAGCCAATTTCAAAAAAACTTTGAAGGAACAAAGGAATCGAATAAAAGATCTCGATGATATGTATATTGAAATTTCATCGACAGATTGCCAGTATGTTTCAAACAATGATTTGTGTGGTATATCTGGTTTTTTCCGTAAATTAGAAGTTGATTGACAATTTTTTTTTCTCATTAAAAAATCATTCCCTTTTTCATTATTTCACATTCAACTGAAACTTGAAGTTATTTGTGTGCGCCTAGATAAATACCTTTTATTTTATGTTCAGATCAAGAACTCTCCTGCCGGTGGTATTAGTTACCTATTAATTGTTTCAATTTACATACAATATAGCATTTGTAATATATGACATATACTGTACATCCTTTAAAAAAATAATTTTATACATCGACGCAGAAGTAGTAAGATAACAAATATCGATGCGTGAATCGAACAAGATGCACAAGTTGCAATCATGAAACAATGTATACTCAAAAAATATATATCGAAAAAAAAGCATTTTACATTCGATTTCGAATGAAAATTTTTTTTACAATTATATAATATAACTTAATTTAAAGATTGAAATATTTCAATGACACATGTAACATATGTTAAAATATATATTGTATCAATACTCTGTTTTCCCTTGTTCCCTTTCATTTTATTTTTATTAAGCTTCATTAACATTTACAAGCTCGCAATCGTACAGAATTTCTTTTAAAAATTCTGTACTCGCAGGCGCTGTGGTGTAGAGATTTCCTGTAATATACACAACGGTGCCATGACCGTTTTGAACTGTTCAATCATGTGAAATTGATAAATCTTCGATAAATAATGGAGTAGTTTATAATTACAAATAAAACATTATATAGCTTATGCTTACTTACCCAAAAAATTCTTTGCATTATTATCGTATAAAATAATTTTACAATTGTTTCTATGTAATATTTTAAATCCTAAACATCGAAATCGCTCATCCGTTTTGTAAAGAGTATTATTTTTTTGTAAATTTAAATGTGGTTGTCCACTAAATGGATTGATGAAATCTGCCCAATAACCCATTCTCCTTAATTTTGCACAAATATCTGAAGCTGCTAATACAAACTATAAATAAAAGGAAAAACATACTTTGCCAAACATATGAAATGAGTGACAGTTTATGATTAAAATATAAGCCATATTCTTTACATTTTACATACTCACATATTTAGCTAGTTTCTCAGTTTCTATTTCTTTGTTCCATTTCATAACTTTAAAATTAATTGATTGACTGATAGTAATTATAGTAAGTTGTGGAGAACCAACATCTAAACATCCAGGAAATAATTCCTCTATACCTTTTCTCAACAGTAAAGGGCATTCTTGTGCAACACAATGAAGCATTGAATGTTGAGTCCCTTTCAAACGATTTGATCGAGGAGCAGGTTTTTCTTTAGAATCATCTATCGATATCTGTTTATCATTGTCATGAAAATCAACTAATTGCGTTCTAACTTGAATAGTTGTGGTTACATCTGACCAACCAGGGCCAATGCTTCCCGGTAAATAAAATCTGAATCCTCTAGGTGTTAAAAGCTCCCAATTAGAATTTATTCCAAGCATAGCACCATCCACATCTAAAAAAAAATAACAATAAATATAAAAAACAAATTTTTTAAAATAAACAAATTTAAACTTTAATAATAATATTTACCATTCAAGTTTTCACTATTTGCTTGAACGATTTTGTATGAGTTTGTGCTTTTATTGCTACGTCGAGAATAGCAACCCTTTGATAATATATTAAACAGAATTGTGGTATTATTTTTCTTGACATATTTTACACAAAGCATCTGAAAAAAATGACATCGTGTAGGTTATGTTTTATATATTCTTTTTTATATATGAATAATCAGTAAATAATTACTATTGAATTGCTTACAACTGAGCTGCGATTAAATTAGTTTCATGGAAAAAATATAAACGTTACTGTTAAGTCACGATTCACATGCTGAATTAAAAATTTCTTTTTCCAAGATATCGTTATATGATTCAATTATCTAACCTTACGTAGAGAATTAGTCGTTTTGATCACTCGTATCCAACTATGTAACGATATCAAGCGCAATATTCTTCGCGCATCAATCAGATTTAACGAAAAGAAATAGACATTTCATCACTAGATGGCATAATACGTTATGTTCATCTTTTTTAATTGTAACCACAGCATAGGAGTTTTATAGGAGATATAATATATATATATAAGACTTATATCTAGTCTGTAATAGTATTTCTATATCTGTGACTATAGATTGCTCAAACAAGGTTTCTTACCTACAATCAATATAGTAACTTATCAGTGTTAAAAATACAGATTCGATTATTATCGATTGTACATAATATACGTTATTAAAATCCTACATGAAAAAAAGAATTGAACTTCTTCGTATTGAATTTCCGATGTACTGATTTAAAGATCAACTATAATGTTAACAGTGTCATTAATTTTATCTAAACGTGTGTGATCAAGTTAATTAAAAATAAAGTGTAAATAAACAACAAAATTCTTTGAAATATTTTAAGAAAGTACGAATGTCTTAATCGCTTTAATAACGCTACATTGCTTTGTCGTTTTTAACCTAAATCGAGATGGCTGACTCAGAACAAGATTTCGGAGATCGTGGAGATAATGACAATTTAAAAACTGATAAATTATTTATCTTAAAGAAATGGAATGCTGTAGCTATGTGGAGTTGGGATGTGGAATGTGACACTTGTGCAATTTGTCGAGTTCAAGTAATGGGTAAGTTGTGTATACATTATATATATAATATATATATATATATATATATAATAAAAAAGTTTATATTTATATAAACTTATAGGTTAGATTATTCGTTGCACATTTTTAAAACATTTTAAAAATCGAAATGATACTGTAATATTAATACGCAGTATTAATAATATACTATTAAGTTTTTTTTATAATTAAATTTGTTATTTTATATTTATTTATTAATATTTATGATAAGATATTTAATAAATATTATACATATATAATGCAAAATAATGAATACATCATAAATAAAAAAAATAACATTAACAATAAAAATTCAAAAGGAAAAAAGAAAAAGAAAAATATTCTGTTAAATGTTGTACTTCAATAATTTAGAAACTTACATGTAAATTTAACATAAATATTATTAATAGCAGTAATATTTAGTAATAACAATAATATATATATATATAAAATATATATATAGTTATATATAGTTATAAATTTTGTATATAAAATATATATAGTTATAAATTTTGTATTGAGTAAGTTTTTTCTTCAAAGTTTGGCAAGTACCTTACGCCCAAGCAACACACAATAAAAATATTCGTCAGATAAATAGAAATGACGATAAAAAATTAAAGTAAAAAATTAAAATCAAATGTCAGTATATGGCAAAAAAAGATAAATTAGCATATGAAACAAAATTTCTTTCGATGGAACACATATTACTCTCAACATAATATCATCGAAAATTGTACGTGAATTTGCAAAATAGTAATAGTAACGTTTTTTCTTCTTGTCTTGCCCTAATTTTAAGATTCGGAATGATATAAAGGCAGTTTTATTTAATATTGAGAACAATATGCATCTGCGCAAGAAAGAAAAAAAGAATTGAAAAGAAGAAAAGGTGAGATAATAGGATTAAAGAGTAAATAGTATATATATATATGAGATGAATCAAGATGAGATGCGACAATCGAAATTCAATCTGGATATATTATCGGAAATTAGAATAAAAACTAAAAATTAAAAGCGCACATTTGTAAAAAATAACTACATATACAAATATATATTAAAGATTTACAAGAAAATCATTTCTTAAAGTATATACAGTTCACATATAAGAGATTCAATGAATCGTGCGCGATCATGCATATGTTCCCTTCGTTTGTTGATCATATATATATATATATTTTTTTTTTTTTTTTTTTTTTTTTTTACTAATTAGTTACATTAATTTTGGTAATGGAAAAATAAACGCAATTATTTTTATCTCTATTTTTTAACTATATGTATATCTTATGATTTAATTAGTTAATAAATGATGCAGTTGTTCATTGACGTAAATCGGTAACTGTATAAATGCGACGGTTACATCCATAAAGATGTATAAGAATTATACATATATACGACCGTCGCGTTAAAATTTTATTGTTGCTTGTATAAAAGGAAGAAATTCGTTTTTTTCCTTTGCTAGCAAATGCTGGTTATACATATTTTCTTAAGTACAACATATCAGCATATATATCAGCGAATTTATGCACACAAATTATGTGTATTAATTAAATAATTCATACTTGCTGTTAACCTACTCATATACTTTTAATAAAAGTACTAATTTGAGGTAGACCCTAAAATGAAAGAAGAAAAGTAATGGTTACGTATAATATCTAATTAACGGATCATTTTCTTTGTTGAGCTTGCATTCGCGATTATATCGCTAATTATAAACAAATATAGCTCATAAGTACAGAAAATTGAATATCCGAAACTCTCTTTATTGTTCTCTGATCTATTGCTCTATTATTTTCTTTTGTACATTTTTTCCTTGTTATTTCATTTATCATGTTTTCTGCTTTAATTTTCTTTTCAATAAGATAAAACGCAATAATACAAATTTTGTCGATCAAGAACTTATTGCTATGATCAATGTAATCAATCATTACGTATGTAAAGATCGATATGATTATAATAAAGAGAGAATCAGAAAAAAAAAGAAAGACGATCCGGAAGACTATTATTAAATCTGTTCGTTCTGATCGACAGAATGAACTATAATACATATTCGTTCGTTTGATAAAACGAAACGTAATTGATCATTGATCGAACAGATTGATTAACTAATTATCAAAAAGAAAAGATATAAAGCGAGAAAATGATAGGAACGATTAACCAGCATTAAATGGTTATTGGCATCGGTTTTAAATTGGCGATCGCACTCGTTCTTCTCACCGGTCCAGCGAATCTTCTTTCGATTTCTTCGAGAGATCGTCCTCGTGTTTCTGGTACGCAAATAATTACAAAAATGAATGCTACTGCTACAAGCGTACCGAACAACCAAAAAGTTCCATATGGGCCGATATGGGAAACCAAATCTTCGTAAGTTTTCGTAACGACGAATGTACAGGACCAATTGAAAGCTGTTGCAACACTGGCAGCCGTACCACGTATCTTAACTGGTAAAATTTCGCCCATCATTAACCATGGGATCGGACCAAAACCAAATGAGAACCCGATCACATAAACGATCAGACTCATTAGTGGAATCCAACCAAATGCAGTAACATCCATTAATTCTTTCACATAGAAAAAAGTACCGAATGTGAATAAAGTTATACACATTAGTATACTACTTATATAAAGCAACATTTTTCGACCTAATCTATCTATGATCATTGCTGCAACGAACGTTGAAATGAAATTTACGAGACCTATGATGATGGTGGAAAGATTTTCATCTATAGTACTTCCAGCGTCCTGAAGAAAATATAATTGAAAAAATCCGAAAATTAAACTTTGATTTTTCATTAATTTGCAAGTAGATATGGTAAAAATTATAGAATGCGATATACCTTGAAAATTTGAACTGTGTAAAATATGACCGCATTGATTCCTGAAAACTGTTGAAAGAACATTAAGCCAAGCGAAATAAAAACCGGTTTTATATGATTTTTCTTGAAAAGTTCTATGAAAGCACCCTCTGTAGCGATACGTTCACTTTCGATATGCATTTTTTGAATGGAATCTAATTCCTCGCTAATATCGGCAGTCTTGCCCCGCAACCATTGCAACGATTTTCGTGCCTCTTTTATTTTCCCTTTCGAAATGTACCATCTTGGCGTTTCAGGAATTAGGAACATCAGAATCAAAAATATTATTGGTATACAGGCACCTAATAATGCAAGATTTCGCCAAGCTAAATACATTCCAGCTGTGAAGCACATTAAGATCCCTGAAGAGACCGAAGAAAAAAAAGAAAAGAAAACTTATTAAGTTTTGTTTGACATGGATAATGATTGGTATAAAATATAATTCGATAAACTTACCTGAATTACCAAAGACGGTTGGTAAGAGACCAAGTGAACCACGTACTTCTGGTTGTATAGATTCTCCAAGATAAACTGGCAAGGAAAGAGAAGCAATACCGACGCAGAAACCGCATATACTACGGCCAACCAATATCATCGCAACATTTGTTGCTAGTGCGATAAATAACCAGCCTGGAAGATATTATTTTTTTTTTAATTATAATTAAAATATATAATATAATATAATAACATTATATTAATATTGAATTGATTTCACAATCTAGGATTGTCATGCATATTATCATGAATAGAATGAGTAAAACACATTATCTGTTGCATAATTATAATAATAAAAATGTAAGCATACCTGCAAGAAACGGTAAAGCAGTGCTCAGAATAGTGTTTCTTCTACCAATATATTCAATACATGGACCACCGATTATGCCTCCAATAAGAGCGCTCAGTGGCATGATCGATCCTATCCACATAGCCTGAAACGAAAATTTCATACGATTATTTCTCAATCATTTCGTTTTAAAATTTCGAGCTACGATTCTCTTGTTAAAAATATATTAAGCAAATTATATTATGTCTTCCCGCTTTTGATGTTCAAAGATTAGTGGGTTATGCGCTGATCTTAAATACAATTATATATCCGAAGAATAAAGAAAATGTAAAGGAAAAAAGGAAGATAGAAAAGAAAAAAAAAAAGAGAGGAAGGAAGCAAACAAGCAAGAAAGAAAAAAAGGAAATGTTAATATGCTTATACAGACCTCGATTTTTGTAAGTTGGAATTGGTAGGGAAGACGAGGGACATTGACTTGAATCCAGAAGTAGGTACTTGTACAAAGATCTGTTCCTGTCGAGTAAATCTCCAGGTGGCATATCGTCAAATAATTGAAGGTTATGGTAAATCGCGATTAATCGCGATAAATTGCGGTAAAAGACTCGTGTCGTAACAATGTACGGATATAATTGCATCGATCATGAACGAACCAATTACCAATCGAGGTTGGACAAGACACGTCGATAGCATAGCTATTAACAACCGGGGTCGAATGAAAAATGTGTTTCGAATCTATATCGCATTGACGCACTTGATGGGTTAAAGACTTAATCATTTATTGACCCTTCCTTCATATTACCGATTTGACAATGCATCGCGTCATGCGTTGTTATTTGAATGTAAATATGCGAATCGATCGCAAGAATTTACGGTGAATCGGTCGTTCGAGGAGGAAGTCTCGCGTAATCGGAATACGTTTGAAAACAAACGTGCCTTGTTACGAATCGTTTGACCTTCGGTTGGTTTTCGGTTTTGATAAGAAGAGAATCCAGATAACATTGTCTTTCGTTTCACCGAAATACTCAAGATTATCCGACATTCTTGCGAAGCACGTTTGTTTGAAAACAATTTTATTCGTGATAGAGAAAAACAATCTTTTTTTCTTTTTACATATCCACTTTTGCACTTTTCTACTTACCATATCCATAGTTACTTCGAATGTGGCTGTCGTGTTATCTCGCATCGAAACTAAAGCAGGAGACGTGTAGGAAGTGGAGTAACCGATCATCAAAGAGGACATTGACACCGCTAGAGCAGCTATCAGCTAAGAATATTAAAAAAAAAAAAAAAATGAATTTACGAAATTATACGAAATTTGAGCAAAATCAAATTGATATTTCTATTAGAAATCAAAATTTTTATAAATGGCCAAAATTCGAGAATCATAATACTCGTGATGTTTATGAAGCGAAGTCAATTAAATAAGATCTGGTAAAAATCTCGACCAATATTCAATACGAAACGAAGGTCGAACAGTGGTAATATACAATAATAAAAAGAATGAATGAAGGACGAAAAGAAGAGATGATTATACACTTAAGATCATATGAATAAAATGAAGCATCAATTTCTATATAAAGTATACAATGCCGTTGTCGATACCTGAGAAGGGGTGCATTTAGCAACTGGCGCGTTGCCCGGTAATTCGATGTCCACATGAGTATCAGCTCGCATAAAAATCTTCATGATCGATAAGAATATAGGAACAAGATGAAAATTGATCGAAGAAGAGATATAGAAATAACAGGCGAAAGCTTCACGTTGTAACGTCAAAGAGATGAAAAACAATTCTACGATCGTAGCACGATTTTCGCCTATACGTTAACCGCTCGATTTTTGTTTCGAATCACGATATGTATAACGAACCAAACGAATACACCGTTCAAACGCGCGTGCGCACCGATCAATATCGATTTAATTTTATTTGATACACCAAATCAAATCGTTTCTTAATTAGAAATTCAAAATTTTTCGATTTCAATACGCGTATTTATCGATTATTTGCTTTCACCGTATTATTAATTTCGCGTCCTTCTTATATCAAATGTTATTTCTATTGCTATAGTTGCTGTTGTTATTATTCTTTTTCTTCTTTTTCTTGCTGGTATCAATTTTGATGATATTACTATCGATATCGATATTTTCGTTGTCAACGTTGTTGTTGTTATTTATCGTGATTTTGTCGCCAATTGGTTTTGTTAATGTTAACAACGTTCCCGTAAGTTTAAAACGCTATTGACACTTGTGGACCGACGGGTGGTTCCCTGTTTATATAGAGAAACGATGCTGGGGGGCCGCGACTATCCCTTCTCTTGTCATTGCGAAGATCCATCGTCCGCGAATCGGACGATTATACGTATAAACGTATATATGCGCGCGACTTTGCGTACGCGGGGTTCTACGCGTAAACGTAACTTGTGCCATTACTGGACGACATATAGTTAATTTCGAGAGACCGTTTAATACAGAAAGCAATAAGGAAGAGAATGGATGAAAAGAGTTATCGGGAGGAAAACTTTTTCCTTTCAAATTTGATTATAAATAAATCAAATTTTCTTATATTTAAATTGCAATTGAAAAAAATATTTAAAAAGTCTGTATTTTCGAAAAATAGTCGCTTGTCTTCGCGACAGAATCGCGTTGTTATATGATCAACCGATCTTACCGCTCGCGACCTTCTTTCGCGTTGCGTAATGTTCTGTTGAAGCATGACACGCATTGCTCTTCTTTTTCTTATTCGTGATCAAAGAAATATTGCCATGTTTCGTTTCGTTTCGTTTCGTTTCGTTTCATTATTTTCCGTTTCACAAACTTAAGAAGATGAATTCGTTATGCTTTTTTTTTATGATTGACACGATAGAATGTATAGTAAACACTTCTGTAATTTTGAATATATCATTTCTTCGCTTTAACGACAATATAAAACAAAAATCATGATTTCTAAATTTTTCTTCATAATAACATATAAAAATAATAATTTTAATTTAAAAGTATTTGAAAAATTCTTTATTAAATTTATTTTAAATTAACGTTCTAAAATGTAAAAGACTACAAGTTTTGAATTATATGATTATTTCAACAAATTGAAGTACACAATTGAATGGCACATTTAACTTCAACTTGAACTTCCCATCTCTATATCCATTCGCATTCATGTTTGTAATGATAGAGATTATTATTAAAGAATCGAAAAAAAATCAATGATAGAATTCGTGAATGATATATCTATCATTCAATTTTAATTCTTTCGTATCATTTATCATTATTAATTGTTTAATATGGTTCACAAACATCTCGAGTCTATACGTCAATGATGTACGTGGAAGAAAATTAAGTCGTTAGTTATTATCAGAAGCGTATACAAGGTCAGTATAGTTGAGTACAAATGTATATGCACGCATGCAATGCATACATTCGTCTTTTGTTTTTCGCAATTGTTTCTTTCGATGAATCGACCACAAAACAAGTGAGAGATCAACATTTCCATTTTCCGTTTTTGCACCTGCTCCATTTTTGCTTTTGCATTCTTCTTCACTCACATGCCCTTCTCATAGATAAATATATTTCTTCTCATCTCATCCCATATTTTCCTCATTTACTCTTCAGCCCAATTTAGGTTACGTTTATATTATCCGATGCAACAATGAACGTCACGACTCAGACAAATATTCTCGCATGTAATCAGATGAGAATGTTATACATATATCGCGTATCCATCTTCAATCCAATCGGTACAAGCTAATTTATACTCGTTCAGATGCGATGTATTATCAAATAATTTATTATGATGAACTTTCTTGGAAAAAATCAAATTCATATAGCATATTAGATATTTTGTTCAATCGACAAATATCTATCATTACTATCAATAACAATATTTCGTTGAATAAACATTTGACAACAGATTAGCATATATAATATATACTATAGAGGACTCAATATATATATTTCATATTATCATTATGTATTATTTCTTCTTGTATTATAATTATATTATTTAATACTTCAATAATTTTCAAATTTTTTTGGTCAATTTGCCGATTAATTTTAGTTCTTCACTAATGTTAATGAATTTGAAATAAGTTAGAATATAATTTAAAATAATTTAAGTTAGAATAGAATTTGAAATAAGTTAGAAATAAATAAAGAATATTATTTTAAATAACTTTTTCTTTTATGCATAATCATCAATTTCAGATTATTCACAAAAAATTTTCTTCGTATAATACTATTGAATTTTGTCTTTGCATTAGTCTTATGTATTAATATGCGATCGCCTCTTCAACTATTTATATGAATATTGTGATATGCAAATATCATTATACTCATCCAAGTTTGGAATAGATCCGTAGAATGTGAAAATAAAATATAAAATAATTCTTAGAAAATTGAAATTACAATGATCAAAGATTCTTATTGTATATACGAATGTTAATATATTCGTAGAACATTATTAAGGGATTGATTCTAGAGATCAAAACAAGAATTGATACGAAAATGTCAATTGAAATGTTTATTAACTATTGAATTGTTTATTAAATTATAAGTAATTTAAATTTTCGTTAAATAAAACGAGGCAGAAACAGAACAAGACAGCAATATAATAAAGATAAAAAATAGAGTATTATTTTATTTAACGCGAGCTTAAATTATTTATAATTTAATAAATAAATCTCAATTGACATTTTTGTATATCAATCATTATATTTGTTTCAAAGAATTAGAATTCTAAAATTCAAAAAGTATCTCATAAATATATGTATTAACATCTTGTATATAATTATGTCAAGAAAAGAAGAAAATCTTAAAAAAAATTATTTTCAAAGAAACTAAATTTAGGAAGTAAATTTTCGATGAATTTACTCATTTCATGTATGTATATATATTATTATTCGCTCTTAATAATTGCATACTTATTATATAACGAATGTATGTGTACAGATAAAATTCAATGATAATATTATAAAAATCAATAAAAATTTTTTGCAAATAATTTGAAATCTAAAACCACTTATAAAAAAGTCGAAATAAAAATTCATTAAAATCACTTTTTTTACAATATATTTCAAATTCATTAAAATTCATTCATAAAAATCAATGAGAAAGGAAATAATCAGCAAGTTGACAATTATAATATTAACATAATATTTTATATTATTTTTTATATAATATTATATAATATTATTAATATGATTATTATATAATAATTATATATTATTTTTTATTATAATTATAATTATAATATATATTATATATATATATATGTGATAATTATAAATATTATATTAAATAAAATAAGAATAATTGAAAATTATAAAAAATTTTTATTTTGTCAACTTCTTATTATTCAAAATTCATATAATTTCAAAAAAGGAATCATAAATGAAAAAAATATAGTAAAAATATAAAAGATAACATAATAACAATCTAATCACACTCTAATCAAATATCTTAAAATAAAATCAGATTCTAACTCCAGGAAATGATCTTGTATGCGTATATGTACTATTCTGTAGTATATAATATATTTGACAAATATCTTATGTTATTGGAATCGAATAGTATAAATATTATATTAAAGAAATATCGTCATGTCTGAGTCGTATTATTTAATGTCGGATCCAAACAGATAATATATATAAACATAAGTTCAGTTTGCTCTTAGTTGGGCATTATTCAATTGCAACTGAAGATATTAATTATGAAAATGCGATTAAAGTGAAATTTTGCAATAATAATTACGAACTACGTTTAATCAATGTTTTGAACATATTGAGTTTCATGAAATATTTAAATATGAATTAAAAATTTATCTATCTTTTAAAATCGATTGATTTAAGATCGCACTTTTTTTTGTATGCTTTCATAATATTATATCATTGAAGATGTTATTGTCGTGCATTCTTGTTTGCGTAACGATAATAAATACATGTACATACATGTACACACGCGCGCAACATGGATGTCGTAAAGACGAAGATCACGTTGCCCTCAAGTTTAGCTCAAACGACAGGGCGGAGAGGCACGCATGGCATTTGATTCACGCGAGAAAGAAAAGCATCGAGGGCAAGAAGCTTCGGGATCTGCCGCATCGCGCAATCATCGCGCAAGATTCCCTTGAATCATGAAACTTTCGACTTTATCAATTTGATGACAATTATCGATAATATCATTTCCAACTTCAAATATTCAAATATTCAAATATTTCGTTTCAAGTTTTGATTCTCGCAAAATGAGAAAGAAAATAGATTAAATGCTTAAAAAGATGTTTTCTCAGATTATCCTTGAAATTTCTACGCGAACAAAAACGAACGAAGAATAACTTTGTTTTTTCACTTGAATTGAAAAATATAAACGCGATTTCACAATGTTGCTCGTGATATTTTTTTATACGGTTAATTATGTATAATATATTATATGTATATAATATAATTAACGAAATGATTAGAAAAAAGAAAATTAATTACCTGCATACTATAGCGCATAGGTGATCGTTTTACTTCTTTGAACTGTGTATGTAAAACATCGTCCGAGTCCTTGGCCGGTTTTATATTTTGCGAACTCATAGTTTGCTTGGTGTTTTCGACCCCCATATACGGAGGTTCGCCGACCAATAATGGATCGATTTGCTTGTAATCGTGATCAGAACCCTTGTCAAGAGGATCGTATATGTGAGACCCGTTTAGAGTCTTTTGATGATTGTTCCTCAAGTTCTGTGCATAGTAATGGTTAGCAATGACAATATTGCCAGAAGGAATCACTTTTTTCTCCGCGATTAGGGCTGTTTGACTGTTGAACGGACTCGCGATTGTTGCGAGTGTCGTATTCGATGAACAATCTAGATTTATGCCTGAACTGTTCGTCGACGATCTTGCAACCGAAGGCACTCTCGTATAGTATTTTGGTAGAACAGTTCGTTCCTGAAAACAGACAAAATTAACCTTATCAATTTTTTTTTCTTGTTTTATCATTCTAGTTTTTTCTCTTTTCGTTTCAATTACTCATTCTCGTTCGCGTTCGCATTCCATAATGCGCAAATGAACTTTCGATACGAAGCAATCCGATATCTTAAATAATTATAAAAATTTATTCAACTGAGTCAATAAATGTTAAACTTATTTATGTTATTCGATTAACTTATTCTTTCTCTCTCTTTTTCTTCATAGAAACACACACTGGGCACTTATGATCAAAATTACCAGAACCTTCGTAGATAATTATTGTTTATTGCAATAGATGTAAAAAAAATACCTAAAAATACAGCGTTTATTTAATTAACTAATGTGTTGTATTATTTAACACAGCAAATACCTAATCTATAGTAATCCAATGTTCGCCAGGAAACGGTCAATTATGTTAAGGGGATGAAATTTCAAAGTTGGAATATTTATACTAGATTCGTTTATCGAGAATTGTGCCAAAAGAGGAGGAGACACATACCGATTATCGTTCTGAACCAATGACAGAAAGCGATGAACGAGAAACAGCGTGATTCTTACTCGACGATTAGATGACTTTTACCCCTGTGATTACTGATAACCTCTGTTGAACTTCATGACCAAATCGTGAGCTCTTTGCTTTTGCGAATGTTATGCTCGTGCACAACGCATCTTGACATATATGATACATAAAAAGTTCATGGAATTTGCTTTTTCGTTTTGTAATGTTGACAACACTGTCATTATTTTTTCTATTGGACTATACTACTGATAGCATATTTTATTATTAGTTCAAATTTCACAATTATATGACTTATAGTTCTTATGCAGCGACAATTTTAATAGACTTCTAACCATCATCCCAAATGAAACAGAATGTTTCACAATCTTTTGAAAAAATAACATGTTAATATTTTGTTTTTTCAAAAATTGCAAGACTTAACTTGTGACTTGTTTAACTTGTGACAATGATTAGACACAAATGTTTATTAAAACTGTAAGAACTATAATATAATTATGAAATTTGAACTAATAATAGAAAATATTATTAATAATAGTTTAATAAAAGAAATTGCAGTGTTATCAATATAAATAAAAAATATTCCACGAACTCTATTCACATTCTGTATTTTGTATATGAGGTGTATATAAATCCTAATAAATCGATTTAATTTTATCGATTTACCGAAATCTTTGAATATCTCACTCAAAAATTAAATGTTGATCACACGTGTATTACACATTCACTGAAATATTAGTGATTCTCTATTGTTGAAAATTTAAAATTTATATATGACGATGTACAACATCGCGTGGCAATTAAATTTGCAAATAATCGTTTCAGTATTCTATTCTAATAATAGCGATTGTTTCTATGTGAACGTTTTATTCTTCAATAACGATATATTTCCTATTTTTAATAATTATTTATTTTCCTTCATTTTCCACCCTTTCATTTCATTTTTTTTTCATATAACTTGATTATCGGTCATTTTTTTGCCTTTTTTTTTTTTTTAATTTTATTTTTATTCTTTGATTTTTTCTTTTTCTTTTTTTTTTTTTCTTGTTAAATTAATTATGTTCAATATTCGTAACATTTCTCAATGGTATTTGATATCGAAAATTTATTGTCAATATACAAAATAAGTTAAATACAAAATAAGCTAGTTAATAGTTTCATTGTTTGCATTTTAAAAACGATGATTTTGTTGTTTGTTTTATACTATCGCATTTTTTTTGAACTCGACCGATTGTATAGTCGATACGGATACAACTTGTTAATGATCTATAACTACGCGTCATCTTCTTTAGTTATTAAGAAAACAATGGAAACATTTTTTCATGATATCGTTGGTGCACAATGTATATCATGTGAATGATCTTTGACTCTTACATTTATAATATATAGATTCAACAAGAAATGTTGGAACATAGAAAGTCAAAAAACACGCATTTGCATCTTTGTTTTGCGGTTGGCGCTAGTTTCAATTTCGTCGAATTCTTGTGGCGCTATCTCTCGTGAATGTTTAATACCGATAACCGACAGAAGAGAATCGTATATTTGAATCACAAGTTATACGGTGTATTAGTCATCATCGTTACATTCATATACCGACAAATTAACTTTATCCTTTGAGTTTTGATACGATTATTTGTTTTCCATTTTTTTCATTTCGAAATGAGAATTCGTAGAATTTCGAACAATATAAAATAATTAATAAAAATAATAAAATTATGTTTACTTTAAATAAGTATTTAAATATGTTTAGTTTTAGTTCAGTACTAGTAGGTTAATCGAGATTGTTAAACTCTATATTTTATTAAAATTTAATTTACACAAGCAATTGTTATTAAATTAATTCGATTGACCAACTAAAAATTTATTTAATATAAATGTTTAAAATTAATTTCTTTTCGGTTACAAAGTATAAACAATCACGAAAAATTTTATATGTCAACTTTTACTAATAGTTTTATTTTAATTATTACCATCATAAATTAGAGAACATGTAACAGCTTGATCAAAGTTTATATTATATTACAATAATTATAATTAAAATTGCTGTATTCTTAATTTTTTGAAGATATCAATAAAAATTGTTTTATATTGAATGTTGCCTATATGATACATATATGATAATGTGTACATCAATATCGCTTCTTATCTTTCCAGGTTTCTGTAAACACATCGTGATTGGTACTTAAAATGTATAACAAAGAACTGTGATTTCATATTTATCCAAAGAGTTTGAGATCTTTTGAATCTATACAATATGAAAACAAAATATAAAATAATTTTTGGGCAACCGAAATTACAATAATTAAAATTATAATGATAAAGTGAAGCAGGTATTGTTATTATCGTAACTTTGATTATTGTAATTTTTATCATTATAATTTCGATTCTCTAAAGATTTATATTTTATTTTTGCATTTCTTAAATGCAAAAAATTTCAAATTTTTTATAATTAGATTCTAGTTATAGTTATTTATATATTTTAGATGCCGAACACAATGTGTTTATATAAACAGTAAATAATTGTATAATGATGCATATATTCTCATGGATGCATATATAAGCAAAATTTAATGTAATAATAGTAATAATTTCTTATATATCTCAAAAATTATATTTGCAACAATCCAGAATATAAATATTATAATTCTTGAGATATAAGATTTCAATCATGATATCATATGATCAACTCATTATTTAATATAACTCATGGTAACTAAAAATATCGAAGTATTCAGTATTTAGAAATTATTTCAATATATATTTATTCTTTAAGATTATCTATTTCTCACATGATGTCATTTATTTAAAGTTTTCAGTACATTGAAACATATGACAGGATTATAAAATAAGAATTAATGCATAGAAATTTTGGATCATTATTGAAAATAACATTAAAGTATGAATATTAAACATATGCATTTGAAGTATTTATTTTTCTTATTTTGAGAATATTCAGAATTATATTTGCTATCCTATTTCCAGAATATATGTTGTCCATACATCCAACACAAATTTTTATCGTTTCATTTGCGTAGTCTAAATCGAACGACGGTACTATTTTCGTTCCTCCCGAACATTGCTGAAGGAAGACGCAGCTTTTCGTTATTCATCAGCCTCTCGAACAATCGATTTGATAAAAAGAAAAAGAAATTTACAATGTATATTTACATAGAACAAAAATACTATAAAATGAGAATAAAAATAATTAATAAAAGAAAGGAAAGAGAAGTATAATTTCATCATATTTTCATCATATCAAAAAACAATGATTCCATAGAATTTAGATGTAAACCATAATAATTGAAATTCAGTTATATATAAATTGAACAATTTTACATTTCAAATATTTCGTAATTATAATATAATATTGCATCAATCATATTTACCAAGAAATATGTTAAAGAAAACAAATCCATAGTTATAAAGATTGAAATAGAATATCATTTGTATATTCGTATCGTTTTTCAGTATTCAAATCTACAGTATTTTTGATTAAGCTTAAAAAATGTCGCATGTTCTACTAATTTGTAAGTAAGATAACAAATATAACAAATTAAATTTTACTCGAGAAAAATTTCATTGATACGCAGAATAATATGCATGAGTACGTGTCGTAATGATCTTGTCTCGACCGTGAATTGACGTTAAGGTGACATTGCGTATATACTAACGATATGCGCAAATATCGCATGCGCATGAATCGGAATCTGTATGAATGTATGTGTACAAAAACAAAAAGCAGCTGCATTTAATCTTCATCAACTAGTAACAAATTCGTTTCGATATCGTTGCATCCATTCAAAATACAATAATACTAATCTTTCAATTTATATATTCATATAATATCGCTAAATAGAAAATTCAAAATCTATTAATTCCTAGAAACGAAAAAATTCTATAATATAATAATTGATTCATTATCGATAGTTGCGTTTAGTATATTATAAATATTAGGTAAAATACTATATATACATTCAATCTTTCTAAATGTCTTTCGAAAATTTCTATTGAAATTATTTTTTTTTCTTTTTTAGTTCTTTTTACATGAAATCTCATTTAAAAAAAAGTGCACAAAATAATAAAGTTTCTTTCAAAATAATCTCGATTAAGTGAATATATAAAATTATTATGTATATTTTTCGCAATAAAAAAAGAAAAAAAAAGAATTAAAATAAACGAAAAAAAGAGAACAATGATCAAGAATATTTAATAATTTTGTGTGCGCACGCACATACAACACAAAATATTTAAAAAATATAAATAAAAAAAGAAGAAAAAAAAGAAATATATATATATTTATATATATATATATATATATATATATATATGCACGGATATTTCATTCAGCTATATCTACAATCCTACATTTCTGCATTTTCGCTAATTTTACACATTAGTTCCGGTGATTTATCTGCATATCAATCGGTTGATTGGATCCTCTCGACATAATAAATTCTGATGTTTTGAATTATTTTTCTACATGATCGATAAAAAAAATTCTACACACACTTTTTCTACATATTTCAAAACGAAGCTGCGATTGATTTAGAGCAATAGTATGACGTACCAACGATGTAGACACTTGTGGCTGACGAAGCATTTTAGCGCTGCGTCCGTGACAATTAACGTAGAGATAAGTCGACTGCAATATCCACATCCTGCTGGCCGAAATATATTATGCTACGAAAAGCGATATAGCGGGGAGTACTACATAATAGTTGGTGTAATCTTGGATATCTAGCCTGTCAGTGGTCACAATATATGACTCCTTTTCATAATTATCAATGTATATGAGCCGTATTCATATATGTACGTCTTACCTATTTTCCCCTATTTCTCTCCCGTTTCTCAGTGATTCGCAACAGTGCATCATCGTCATCAAACGCGATACGATAAAACATAATTATATATATTTTTGTTATTCCATTTTCGAAATCTAGTGACGTTAATGTTATATGCTCTTTTTTCATATTAAACATTTATTCAAATAGTTATACAATATTCTTGTTTCGTAAGATTTTTATTTTTTTAAATCATAGTATTTTAATAATTGTTTCTTCTCTGAATTTTATTTTAATAAATAAGTTTCATAGGTACATCGCATCATATATCGATACGTGTCATTCAAATATGAAAAAGAACTTTTAATGAATAGTATGTAGATAAAAAATATTAGATGTATAATTATAATGTATTTATAATATGTCTTTATGTCCTAAATCATGGTGATAAGTATAATAATAGATAAGTATATAAGTTCATTTTTTTCAGATAATGATCAATAGATTTTTATGATTTTATGAGTAAGGAAGATCTATTATAACAACCTATCCTATTGTATAGATTATATATTTTATTATATAATAGGATTATTATATAGATTATTATCCTATTATTTATTATTATTATCCTATTATAATATTATTATATACTATTATATAGAATATTAATAAACATCTTATTCATATATTGATAGAATGATATGTGAATGTGAATCTGTGTGATTGCGTATTATTACATACATACATAAATGAATACGTATACACTTTATTTCCAAATCATGTGGTATAATGTATTTCAATTTAAAATTTTTCAAATCGAACTTTTCATAAAACTTTCCAACTAATATATGTATGTAAATATACATAGATGAAAAAGAAATATTTGTTGGCATAGAAAGTGAAACGAATTCTAAATGAATAAAAATGATGAATAGTATTTGATGATTAAATGTTCGAATGTGAATGGTAATGGAAAAGTAGGTCCGAAAACATTTAAAAACTGTTTAACGATTAAAAAATACTAATTTAATAATTTATTAAAAAATAATAATTTATTAAAAAAATTTTTTTATTGTGTTACAAAATTTCATGTCATCTTTAGATTCGTGTGTAGATCGTACATGCCGATCGATGATTCTGGTAGACAAATCCTAAAAGACAATTTAATCTTCGAAATTATATATATATATTTCATCATTCAATAAATATGAACTACGAGTGTAAATATGAATATAAATAGCAATAAACAATAACGATAATTAATTGTTCAAAGGTTTGTCACTGTCGCAATTTCGATTATTCAATAGAATAGACATAACACAATTTATATGAAAATTATACGTAAATATTGTGGTTTGTCAATGATTGAAATGAAATAATTGATCGAATAATAAAAAATAAGCGAAAAGACAAGTAAAAGATATTGAATCTAAATATGAATAACTCATATTGTTTTGCGGAATTCGATTATTTTTATACAATAAAATTATTTTAATAAGAAAATAATATAAATATAAAAACATATAACTTTTTTTTAACGACTGATATTTTCGGATGATACAATATTAAATACTCAATAAAACACCTATGAAACATGTAAAAGGTAAAAGATATACATGCGAAATGTTGGTATAACGAAGAATATCTAACATCGCGATCGCGGTCGCGGTCGCGGTCGTGATCGCGTTCGCATTCGCATTCGTGTTCGTAGACGCAATCGCAGTTATATACTATGTATCGCATAATATGTATACTATGTGCTCGAGTATAGTTTGGTTCGCGATTAACTTCCGACATATGATACACCCGGTAATCTCCGCCGACATCGATACATACAGTCTTTCTTAATATATATAGAACGAAAAATTTTCTGTACGAATGAAAGGTCGCGCACAATGAATAAAAAAGCAATAAAAACAGACCAATAATGACCAATTAAATTTTAAGAAAATCTTAAACAAACATACTTGAAAAAATAGAAATGAAAAAGAAAATAGAAAAATAAAAATATTAAGTAATAAAAATAGAATTGAAAAAAGCTAAAAATTTAATGTGCATTTATTATAAAATTTGTAGAATTTTATATTTATCCAAGTAAAATGAGAGAAAATAAAGAAAATTATACAAAAAGTAGAAAAGTAATGATATATAATAAAAAATAAAAAATCTAAAATTAAAAAATAAATTATCGTTATTGATTCATATATATATATATATATATATATATATATATATATATATATATATCAAAATATAATTAAAATACTTTGTGTGTAACAATAAAATACAATGATGATTGAAAATGAAAGAGAAAGAAACGATTAAATTGAAAACAAATAAAATTATGATAATATGAAATCTATATATATATATGAAAAAAGGAATACATAGAGAGCGATGAATGGTAAAAGAAATATATAATGAAAAGTTGCAATGGTAACGATAATAGTAATGACGATGGTAATCGAGGCGCCAGCTTCAATACCGGCCCCGGCGTCGATGGCGGTAGCGGCACGTACAGTGGAACTTTCCAGAAGCTCGAGAGGGGAGAAAGAGCAAGACGATGAGAGTACTGAATTGTGGAAACAGATATGAGAAAAAGAGAGAAAGAATATGCCGAAAAAGAACGAGAGGACACGAACGGCTAACATGGTTAGGTGAAAACGAGTCGGCGGAGAACGATTGGTTCGTCGATTACGAACGGTCGAATGCGCATTATATACGTGAGAGATAGCATACGTGTCTTACCTTCGTTCTTGAAAGAGGTACTAGGCACAAAGGCCATTTCTGCATCTGTCTCCTTTCGGAATTGGACATTTTGTCGTCACGCCTCAAAATGTTCGTGTTGTGTCAGTGCTGCGTGTTGTCGCCTGGTTGAACTGGATCGCGTCACGTGAATCTTCACATTCAACTCGGAATCAAATTCTCGAAATTCTATCGATTTTCTTCTTTTTTACCCGTTGCTACCTCTTTTTCTGGTTTGATGCTTTGCAACTTCTCTTGTCGTGCAAACTATTATATTCCTTTCTGTGAAATTTCTCGTGACTTGCAATCTTGTTTATAGTGTCCTTAATAATATCACGAGTCAGTTGTATTTGCTATGCGCAATAAATAATATTTCATTCGATACAACTTTGATGAGGATATAGTTTTCGATAATGAAGATTTTGAAAATGACCACGCAATCTATTTTTCAAATAAATGAAACGCGCGTGTAAAAGCTATTTTTTTTCGCTTTCTTTTCCCACGTGTACACAAACCACCCTTACAAGACTGCGCAAGGAATGGTTAAAGTCTAAATGATGCCGCGTGGACGGTTCAACGTATTTCTTAGCTCGAGCTCGAACTACCACCACTGCTAAGCGGTACCAGCGACACTACAGCTACCCTCCTGCTCTCTAGTGTTGCTGTTGTTCGTACAGTACCGTGCCGTGTCGTGCCGTGTTATCCGTTGTTTCCCTGTTGTTTGCTTTGTATGTTTCCTACGTTCCTGATTCGCCGCGCTATTCCTGCTACATTTACCGCGCTTGTGGCATGCGTCTCTATGCGACTTCTCACATTTACAATTTTGATTTTTTTTAAATTTTCTGATCTATTACCACTCCAATTTATCAGTTATCTTTAGATGATTCTTCATTTATCGCTAATTATTGGTACCAATTTGATTTTCTGTGTTAATATGTTTTTTCTTCGATTTAAACACGTGAAAATACAGTTTACATTTGTTTTATAAATTTTTTATTATTTTTTTCGTTTATCCGTAAACTTAAATCGTGTAAAATATGAGTGAAATGCACTTTTACGTGTGTTTGAAACTTTGCTAATCAGATCGGGGGGTTTGTCTCTTTTATATAGAGACCGGTGTGGTCGTAAGCGCCGCCTCTTCTATTGGGGCGCGTGTAACTGGTGGGGGACGCGCGGTGACCCGGCACTTCCTCTCACCCTTCTTTCTCTCAGTTGCTTCGTCTCTTGCCTCTCACCTATCTGTTCCATGTTTCGTCTCGTCGCGCTTTATCCTGCCTCGTTTCACCTCACCTCACCTCTCTTTACCATATCTCGCCAGGCGTAACTGCTGTTCGTCCTATCTTTCTTCGCCATAAGTCGCATCTCGTTTCGCTTCGACCAACTTTATCCTCTCTTTCTTTTTCTTTTTCTCTTTTTCTTTTTTCTATCCAGACGCGTCAACGTGATGTAGTCACACATCGTTTCGCGGCTTCTCATATGAATTTGACGCAGATTGAAAATGCGACATATATCCAGAATAATTTGTTTTTTTTGCATTTATACAATCTATCATATCAATATACTTGGTTTAACAATTTCACCCATTTTTTAAAAACTAATCAATATTGTATTCATTTTTTATTTCAATTTTCATTTTTTCTTCATTGCAACTGCCGTGAAAGTCGAATTTATTTATTCATTTTAATTATAATTTATTGCAATTATCAAACAAAATCGCTTAGAAAAAATATGTATATATTTTACATATTTAGACTTATTTCTCTTGATGAAAAAAATAAAATTAATATATTAGATTTCTAATTTCCAAATACTATATCAATATCTTATGAACTTTTCACAGAATTTTCCAGTCATTCGACCTCGTTCAGTTGCAATAGTATAGAGATGCCCTCGATTTTGTTCATTTGTATACATAAATATATGTGTGTTTGTTTTCCTGTTTCTTATTTTTATATTTATATTATTTTATAATTTCTTGTTTCTTATTCATATTTTCGAAAAAAAATAGTAATTGAAATTATATTTATAGTTTAGATTATTTAAACAATATCTGGGAATAATAGATAATATTTTAAAATTTTTTATGTAAAATTATATATAAATTTTATAATAATGTTGAAAAAAAGATATAAAGAATGTCTCCAAAATCATGATACAAATTATGTAGTGTTTTTGCATACAAAAATAAATCGAAAAAAAAGAATTAATTTTTTTGTTTAAAGTTCGGTTTTCAAATAAATCAAGTTTGAAAAATTTTCAAGTATAAGCGAAATTAGCTATTTTCTGATTAGATACGAGTAAACTATCGATAGGAGGTAATTCTACATATAAAAATAAGTATAATACATAAAAAATAAAATAAATTTTTTCGTTTAAAAATTAGTTTTTAATGAGAATTGAAAATTTGAAAATTCATTGATTATACAACTCTTTAATTGTAAATATTCAATTTCGATTTTTTCGAAAAATAAAAATATAAGCCATAAAATTTTATTTTATATTTTTTGCTTATTTCCATATGTAGACTAGATCACTTATCGATAGTTTATTTATATTCAATCGAGCCAATTTCATTTATATTTAAAATTTTTTCAAACTTAATTTTTGATATTTGAAAATGAATCTTTAAACAAAAAAAATTTTTATTTTTTTTTTCGATTTATTTTTGTACAGAATCATTTTGAACCCTTATATTTTGCTTTCAAAAACATTCTATATAAATCATATTAATTTTTTTTGCAAAATATATTTATTGTTTTTTAAGTTCTTTCTTTAAATTTCTTTTTCTACTTTTATTATATATTAATTTAATATGCATATAGGAGAATAAAAAGATATTTGTATTTTTACATTAAAATTCATCGCTTTAATAATTGCTTAACGGAAATAAAAGATAACTTTTATATTTTACAAAAAATGTAAAAGATCTTAAAAATACCATATTATATTCATAATTGAATTTTTATCTTTATCAAATTCATAATTGAAGATTTTGTGTAATCGAAATCGTGTTTTTTTTTTAATGTTTTATATTTATATATAAAATGCTTTTTAAAATTTAATATAAATATAAATTTTTTAAGAGTTTTTTTTGTATATACATATTTAATTTAATAAAATATTTATTTTAATCTTAATAATATATGTATATATTTATTAATTATTGTATTAGTGAATTAATATATAATATTGAATTATAAATAGGATCTATCATGAGTCATTTAAGATATTGAAATATATCAATTTCTCTTAAAAATTAAAAAATTTCTCTTAATATTAATGTGATTTGCAAAATGTAGAGGATGAAGATAAATAGAGTTAAATAGGATAAGAAATTGAAAAGCATAATAATTGAGATTTTAAAACTAAATTCAAAAACAAAATGATAGCTATATTACAAATTTTATCTCAGACGAAGATCAATTTCTTTTTCTTCTTTTCGTTTCTTCGATGATCAGATTTCTTCAACAATTGTCGTGCATGGTTATATCACGGAATACGGTCAACTCATTGATCGATAGAGGTTAATCGATAAAGCGAATTGTTAGTATTGTATCGAAGGAAAAATACCTGGTAACTGTAATGATCGATAAAAATTTACGAATGTAACACTGACAGAATTAAAACTGATTGAAAAAAAAATAAATTAATATATTATGGGATATTTTTCGTTTTTATATAAATGTAATAAATGTTTTTATATAAATGTGTTTTTTAATATAAATGTAATAATATTTAATATCTTTTTTCATATTTAATTTGATAAAAAAAAAGATGAATGTACCGATTGATTAGAATCGTATATTAATCAAAATATGTTAGGATTTATGAAGCGAATATATTTTATATTGAATTGTATAATTTTATGAACATATTTTTATGAACATATAGAAAGAAAATGTGAACGGAAGGTGTGGCAATAAAAAAACAAACACATATATTTTATGTATATATATATATATATATATATATATGGCATTGTCATAATTGTCAAAATTATATTTTGAACTTCGATTCGATGCAGAGCTTCTCAGAGTTTTTAAATGTAGATGTAAAGTATTCATGATTTTAATAGCGTGCAATTCAATAGCATACATTGTGAGAGAACATTATCACACATACGCCATTCAATCGTTCTTGTTGCTCGGTCGTCGTGCATCATTTGTCAGGTTAAAGCACGTGACAAACATTTTGTAATTTTTTTTGAATTTATAATCATATATATATTATTTATTTTATAATCATTAATTTTTATATGATTGAAACTTCTTGAATTTCTTAATGTATAAGTATACATAATTACATAATAAATTTCGTTCACTTTAATATTCCAAATAGTGTTTAATGAATTAAATAAATTAATTAAATGATTAATGCAACATGTAACATCGATCAATCTTTATTGCCTGTCAAATCTCACGAAGAAATGGATAGGACGCATTCTTCGAACGTTCGAGAAACTCGTTAGAAAATCGAAATGTTTGATGCAGTTAAACTAGTTCGATAACTATCGCAATCTCATCAGTATTAACGCATACGATCTTCAATTTTCAAAATTTAAAAGCAAAATAGTCATTATTACGAATAGCCTATTCAATATGTAAATTATTTTCTTGGATTGTAATTAAATACCATTACCTATCCATATATTATTTGAAGTTTGAATCTATTTCTAATTTTGTTGTAATCAATAAATTATGCTTTTTAGGGAAGTTATTATCGTTTAAGATCGATAGATTATCGATGTTCTGGTTAATCGAGGAATGCAAAATTGGATTGTTGATTCGAAACAAATCAATTTATTTTATAGTAACTATAAAAAATATATTTATTAATTCATAACGAATTCACATTGATTTTGTAATTTCTAAAAATAAAAAGTAAATGTAAAACAAAAGAAAGGAATATTTTTGAAAAAGACGTATTTTATGTTTCTCATTTTCTTATTCGTTTAAAATTTAATTGGTCCAATGTTTTTTCGCTTTAAACTCGAGAGCACGGCTGATATATCCCCTGGTGTGGGTCAACGAGAAGCAATTCTCGTGAAGATCATCGAAGATTGACCAACATTATTATTTCTTCAGAATTGTTGCATGCGTTTTATCAAAACTATTTTTATAATCTATCGTTAATTGTCAATGTATCCTATTTTTTTAGTTTTTCTCGATATTCATGATAAAAAATTTTTCGATTTATTCATGATAAAAAAATTACATTTAAATGATAAAAATCTTTAATTTTTAATAACTTGCTTAATTTTTTTTAATCTGCGCTTCTATTGATTTGCTAATTATTCCTAACAAAGCGCACCTGCATTAGATAAGACGATGGAATTTTACTGGATATGCTTCGTATACCCGAGACAGCAGAAGCCAACCGAGACGATATCGATGATACCAGTCAGTTAGTTGGTCGCTGGTGAATCGGCTTCTCATTCAAAAAATTCAATGTAATAATTCGATTGTTATCATTGTATTTCAATTTTATATTTATATTTATATGTAAAATTATTAATCAATTATTAATCAAATTTTTCGATATTAAAAAATTGAAATATCTATGAAATATATTCATATTTTTTGACAAATTTCAAGCTTTTTCTATCACAAAAATATAAATACATATATATAATATGTATAAGTGAGCATGATTTTTATAAAAAAATAACAAAAAATTTAGAATAAAATTTTTTAATCCAAGATTTAATTTTTAAAATAATTAAATTCAAAAATTTATTGCATGTATATAATAACTGTTAAGATATAATAACTATTGATGATTTATTAAAGATATATATCAATAATCAATATATCAATAATATCTATTGTGTTTTTGAATAATGTTTATAATATTTTCGAATTTTAATTCGAATATTAAATTCAAGAAAGATCAGAAAGATATTTTTACAAATAATAAATATTATGTGATAGTTTGATCATATCTTAATCATAACTGCATACATAAGCAATGAATTTTCGAATTTAATTATTTCAAAAACAAAATTTTGGAAAAAAAATTTTATTTTATATTTTTTTCTTCATCTCATATCCATCTCAGAAAAAATGAAATCATTTTATATTTACTTGTATATGTTATTTGGTTGTACTTTATACATTGCACAATAGGCATATTATATTTAATTAAAAGTTAATATTTAAATCGAGAAGATTTTGCCTTATGAACAATCATATATTCCAAATCTTTTTAATTTTCAGATGCATGTCTTCGGTGTCAAGCAGAGAGCAAAAAAGATGATAGCCGACAGGATTGTGTCGTCGTCTGGGGAGAATGCAATCATTCATTTCATTATTGTTGCATGTCACTTTGGGTGCAACAGAATAATCGTTGTCCATTATGCCAGCAAGAATGGTCCATTCAACGAATGGGAAAATAACTAAATCAATCAAGCAAAACTTCAATACTTATTTTTTTTTTCGTTTTCATTTATTTTTTGTTTATTTTTCCTTCTTTCATTTCTTTTTCCTCTCTCTCTCTCTCTCTCTCTCTCTCTCTCTCTCTCTCTCTCTCTCTCTCTCTCAAACACACCAAGTTGATTAACTTACTTTCAAATTTGTATTTTTACATGTTTTTTTCTATTCTTCATTTTCTATTTTCCTGCTTCCTTTATTTTTTTGTAGTTTTTAAATTTCATGACTTAATATTTTGGTCATAAAATAATAAATCAATAGTAATTGATCAAAACATTAATATAATAATATTATATTGTATTCAATTTCAAATAAAACACGAAACTATTTATTTAAGAAAATATTTTTCGTTTTAAGTTACCAACAAACGGGACAAAATGGTTAGCAGTGACAGAAGTAGGAGAAATGGGCGAATGATGATGAAAAGCTAGCTTATTATGATACGATGTAACGGTCTATTCGACGGATCACACGGTATAATGACGTGATTATTGCTTTTCTATTCTCCTACTTTTTTTACGTCATTGCCGATTATTTTGTCTCGTATGCTGATAACTCAAGTTGTTATTATATTATGAATTATTACATTTACGAATTAAATTGCATTTTTTTTATTAAAATTTCAAAAAACAAAGTACATTTCATATTGTTAAGTTATCAAATTATATTATGTCATTTTTGATAATCTACGCCGAATTATTTTTTATTTTTTTATTATATGTTGAATTATTTCTTAATATCATAAATAAAAAATTAAACTTCTAGTAAATTTTAAATTTAAATATTAGAGAATAGATTTTGAAAACTTTTATTAATCAATTTCATGCTTTACTTTGATAATCTTTTTAATTTAAATTTTTCAAATAATTATACTACTTCATTGCATGAACCTAATTGATAATTTTTCAATAAAGAGTATAAGATAATTCAATAAAGAGTTCTTTTCTTCATTTCTTTTTTCTTATTATTTTTAATTAAAATCAAATAAGATAGATTAATTAATGGTATTTTATCTATAATTCAATAGTTAGAAAAATTCGGTATTCCACAATACGATGTGTATTGTGTTGTGGCGTGATACGAACGGCACGTAATCACGATCCAATGTTCGAAGGTCGCACCTTTCTTCTTTTCTTCGTTCGTAGATTTCTCGTTTGTGCTATCCTTGTCTTGTCTGGTTCATCTTTGATCTTTCTTTTTTGTTTCCCCTTCTTCCTTGTCGAAGCACTCACGCCTTCGTGCGATTGTTCATTCTATCGTTTCTCCGGCATTACGTATCGTCATGAGTATACTGGAGGCTCGTCGGAGGCTCGACCAATCAAATAGTAGAAAGGTATAGCAGCGCTTATATTTATGACCTCGCAGTTGTTGCCACTTCTTGCATCTTTTTTTCTCTCTATACTCTGCACTCCTTAGTCCCTTCTCTTCTCCATTCCTCTACTACGTTTCTCTTTGCCTCTGCAAACCTTCTCTTTTTCTATTTTTGTCGTCAATCTATACGTAAAACTACGGTTATAGCAAATGCATTTTCTAACAAACTAACGGTAGAACAATTAAATAAATAAATTCTTATAAGAGTAGTTGCATTCTTTTTTTCAAATAGTTTATGAATTCGTCTAATAAATTATTTATTTTTCAATTATTTTGAAAAATATATAATCTATATCAAGATGTTAAGTTTATCAGAAAACGTTTATTTAGTATAACACGGTTTAGTGCATGCATATATATTTATATATTTAATGTTTTTCTATTTTTAATATTCTAACTATTTCTTTTTCTTTAAATTTTGTTATTTCTATTTTTTATTCAGAATTGATGAAAAAGAATTTAAATAATGTTATTATATAATATATTGATAGATTTTTAGCAATGTATTTAAATTTCCATCAAAATTCTTCTAATCGATTAATTAATCGATCAATTAAATTAAATGATTTATAATTTTTATGCAACTTCATCATATTAAGATAAAAACAATTATGATTTACCATTTTGATACTTTGTATAATTTTTTCTGTATTATATCTATATATATTAATTAATATTTTAAGCGCTTTTTATCAAACTTATTTTATTTGTTTTATTAAATGTTTTATTTTTTGTTACGTTAAACTATAGAGGATGTATCATAAAAAAAAGATAAATTGAATAAATTTTTAAAAAAAATTATTTTATTAATTTTTAATAAATGTATAATTTGATATATATTATACCAAAGTTTTAAATATATACATATGTATACAGTTTTCATGAAAGAAAAAGTAAAAATTAGTGACAACGAAAAAGAAAAATGAAAATACTAAGAGTTAAATATTGATATAGAATGACGTAATAACAAATTCGTTTATCACGTTCTGTTGAAAAATGATGATTCGAGGTCAACTTGAATCGAGTCTTTATGAAACTTATTTTCATTGATTTTCTAAACCGAAAATAAATTATAAATAGAAGATTATTTAATTTTTAGTATTTAAATTTTTAGTTAAACTATAATTTTTTTGTTTTATATAATATTATTATTTATTCTACAAATAATTTTTAAACATTGTATAATTTAATTCGAAATATGTTAATCATATTTAATCATTTTTTGAAATGTATCAAATTATTCTTTTTTTTTACAATAAAAAAAGTTAATTTTTTAATTATATTTGCTTGTTCATAATATAAAATATGAATTTACAACGTCAATAATGTAAGAATTTACATTACAATATATTTTTCAAATTGAATAATGATGAGAATAAAAATCCTGACACGTTGGCATGCGATTACGTTACTGCACACAGTCACGTAGCAATGTACGAATACGTAAATCTTCTAGATGCAAATATTCATTTTTTTTCTTTTTATCTTCAAATTCCATAATGAAAACATATTGACTGAAAAAAATTTATGACCACTGAAATCTATTATTTTCTTAAGTAAATATTTGACATGTGAATTGTTTGATATAGTTCTCTGCTATGCAATTCATGAAAAATTATCAGTTAAATTGATTGAGAAACATCAGTGGCGCCAGTGACCAAGCATAATATGAAGGTCATTTCGGTCAAATGGAGGCTCGTCACGTTTCACCAATCAGCAAATGGTATTTTAAAATATATTTGTATTCGAATCTGATCATATATGCCTGATGTTATATGGCACTAATACTTTTAGAATAGAATTATAAGATAAGATATAATATTATAATAGAATTATAAAGATAAGGTAAATTGATTTTATATTACCTTATATTTATATTTGATTTATTTCTTTTAATCATTGGTCCAATTATTTTAATCATTGTGCTTCCAAACTTATGACCCAAAGTTATTGTATACAATTGTATACAATATAAATACAATATAAATGTTATGTGAAAATTCGAGATTAAAATATTTCAACATATTTTCTATTATTATATATTCCATTATTAAAATATTTTTAAATTGAAAACATATATTTTAATTTTCTTTTAAATTTATATATATATATATATATAATATATATATATATATAAAAATCATGAAATTTAAGTTATAATCAAATCGATTAGTTTTTTACGATTGCATACAATTTGCGATGCTCTTCATTTTCAAAGATTATCTTTAAAATGATCTATAAAGAAGAATCTATTAGAAGAACATTATTAATGTATATAAAAAATGTAATCATATTCTATTATAATTTTGTTTTTTATTGCATATATTGATATATAAATATATTATAATATAAAAAAACTTGAATTATTTAAAATAATTTTATTTTTTATTTCATATCTATTAATTCATTCAATATCAATTATTAATCAATAATCGATATAAATTTACAAATGTTATCATATGAAATATGTCATCATAATAAATCTTATGAGATAAAAAAAGTAGGATTGTTTTGTATTTTTATTTGTATTTAAAATTTCTTTTTATAAATAGCGAAGAATAGCTATATGATTCATATCATTTTGTGACAATTTTATTTCTATATTTTATTATTATGTAATTCGATAATACCATTCTGTAAACATTCTATCTGTAACTTAATAATTTAAGTTATTATAATCATAATAATTGATGATTATAAATCGTGTATTTGATTGGTATTTGTTTGTATTGCATTTTTATTTTTTATTCAATCAAAATAAATTTTATCATTTATATTATAATTTGTTCGTGATAAAAAATATAATAAATGGATTATTATTATAATTTGTTTTATAATAGTTTAATAGAATAAAATAACTATTATTTTAATTTTTTTTCATTAATTTCACTAAATATCTACATTCAAAAGTATATATAATTACAGTTGTCTATTTTCTTAACCAAAATACTTTTTGTTGATATCATTAAACTTAAAATACTCTTTCATATTTATTAAAAATACTGAACGGAATGCATTGAATTATATTTGAAAAATCTAATTTACTTTATAGTAATTCATCTTGTACTTATTTTCTCAATCTGAAAACTGTAAAATTATAATTGCCAAATTACTTTAATTTTTATTTGAATTGTATATTTTATAAGTATTATTATATATATAGTATTATTTTAAGATATATAAAATAAATTATGAATAAAATCTCACCGTTTTTTTTTAAATTAAATACATTAAATAAAACACATGAATTGTCAATTGAAATAATATAATTATTGACATTATTATTCCTTTCTCAGAGCATTTAATGTAAGAATGGTCTTATTAATACTTTTGAATTAAATATGATTATTTAATCATTACTAAGTAATTATTAAGTAAGTACTTATAATTATATGCACAAAAATATTTTTATTTTACTAATTAAAAGAGAAATATCTCTTTTCATTATCTTTTGAATAAACAAGTACAATAAAATTTATTTCTACCATCTCACTCTCTGCTTTTACAGGTAACAAACAGTGAAATTAATATCGAAATAAAAAGTATAAACAAGAAACAGTATTATTTATGAAGGCACTTGAATGTTTATAATATTTTGTTAAATAATTCAATATAAAAAATATCTTTTATAGCATTAATGCCTATCAAAGGCAATATAGCCATTTGTAACAACGTTTTTAAGTTAAGGTCACAATGGAATGTAAAATTTTTTTAACAATAAAAATCGCTTAAATGTTTCTAAATTCTACATATTTTAAAATGTAACATCTAACAACAAACTTAAAAAATAAGATCGTAACTATTATTATTTTTATAATCTATGTACGTTTTAATTACTACTCTTATTTTTATTTTTTACATCGATTTATTAGCAATTCGTATGTCTAGA